AGGACCCCAGCATTCCAGATTCTTATTGTCCGATATCATTGCTTAATTCGGATGTTAAGCTTCTGGCTAAAATGTTGGCCGTCCGTTTATCGAATGTTATCTCAAAGATAGTTCATCCAGACCAGTCAGGCTTTATCCCAACCAGGGCAACGTCTATTAATATTAGACAATTGTTTTTGAACTTGCAAATCCTAACTAGTAACACCGGTAACAGAGCTGTATTGTTGCTCGATGCAGCTAAAGCATTCGATGGTATAGAATGGAGTATCCTGTGGCATTGTCTGCCACAGTTTGGGCCTAAATTTTTAAGATGGATCCAGCTTCTCTATGTAGCTCTGACACCTAAGGTACAAATTAATGGGCATGTTTCAGACTCCTTTCCACTATACAGAGGTACAAGACAGGGATGCCTCTTATCATCCCTCCTTTTTGCGTTGGCCTTAGAGCCCTTAGCGGCAGCAATCCGTCAGTCCTCTCATATCATAGGATTTAAATGGTCTACAGGAGAGGACAAAATAGCATTATATGCTGATGACACTTTATTGTTTTTGGGGGATACCTCCTCCTCATTATTTGAAGTAATAAGTCTTATAAATACATATTCGTTCTCAGGGTTTACAATTAATTGGGACAAGTCAGTCCTTTTGCTGTTGGATCTGCCACCAATTGTTCAGCAGATATCGGTGGTGTCCTCCTTCAAATATGTGGGAGTTTTGGTCACACCTCAGGTATCTAATTATGTGGAACATAACTTGACACCTTTACTACATAGATTAAAACAGATGGGCGGAACGTGGTGTAAATTGCCTTACCGGTCATTGGTAGAGCTAATTTAGTTAAGATGGTTTGGATGCATCAGTTCCTCTATATCTTTTTTTCTAGTATGGCTTCCGCAGATCTTTTTCCAAAAAATTGACTCCCTTTTTAGGGACCTTATTTGGAAACATAGGCATTCCAGAATACAGCTCTCCACATTACAGCTGCCCAAGGATGGGGGAGGCCTGGCTGTTCCTAATGCCAGATTATATTTTATAGTGTCACAGATGCAACACTGGTACGGCTGGAATAAGCTGGATATCTCTGACCCACTTCAGTGTATTATAATCTCTGTTTATTAATGTTCCACTGGTACAACTGTTAGTTTCTCATTGTTTTTATCAAAAGCATTCTTTCCCTACTTTTAATTTAATTCATAAAGTATGGGACTATGTCCGAACTTTACCCATGCATGAGGGTACACTTAATATATGCCTATTTGGAATAACCCCCAATTGTCGGAAGTGGCAGAGTTTGAGGGTTTTGATGTTTGGAAAAGGTCTGGCCTTCGATTTCTCCACCAATTGTATGATCGGGATTTGCTTTTACCCTTTAGTGAGTTGGTGGAGAGCTATCATATTCCTCAAAGTATTTTTTCAATATCTGCAGTTATGCCACGCATTGCATTGTCATGCCGCTACAGTCCTATTTAAATATAACCCTTCCATACCATTGACTATGGTGGTGTCCACGTCTTGCCCAAAAAGAGGTCTCATAGGAGATCTGTACTCCTCTTTGCAGTTGTCTATTTTGGCTCGCTCCCAGGTGCAGAGTTTAGCACAGTGGCGGCGGGTTTTGGAATTAATAGAGGAAGAGGAATGGGTTCAGGCTTTGAAGTCCCTCTCACAGGTTTCTCTATCTCAATCACAACGCCTGACTCAACTGTTAATAATTCATAGAGTGCATTACACCCCACAAAAGCTTTACTAGTGGGGAAGATTAGACTCTTCGTTGTGTTCTAGATGTCACTTAGATAGTGGCACACTTATTCATATGCTCTGGCATTGTCCTAAGCTTCATCGATACTGATCCTCTATATTTAATATCCTTAACTCGATCTGTTTTTTTGGTTTACATGGCCTATAACCTCAGTTATTGTATTTTTTTTTTTTTTTTTTTTCGTTGATTGGACTGTTCATATGATGTTTGGCTTGGCGTCTGCCGGTGCTGACATATTGTTGCTCCATGTCACAGTTGTGTTTCTTGCTTGTTGTTTTGTTGTATGACATGCAGAAATACCTTAATAAAAATCACTTGATTTAGAAAAAAAAATCTATACCTCTGATTAACAAAATGTGAAAATATAATCAAAATATTTCTGTCCGTTATTTGTAAACATAAACACAGGCTAACTACACTCACCGGCCTTTTTATTAGGTACACCTGTTCAATTGCTTGGTAACACAAATTGCTAATCAGCCAATCACATAGCAACAGCTCAATGCATTTAGGCATGTGGACGTGGTGAAGTCGACTTGCTGAAGTTCAAACCGAGCATTAGAATGGGGAAGAAAGGGGATTTAAGTGACTTTGAATGTGGCATGGTTGTTTTGTGCCAGACAGGTTGGTCTGAGTATTTCAAAAACTGCTGATCTACGGGGATTTTCACGAACAAACATTTCTAGGGTTTACAGAGAATGGTCAGAAAAAGAGAAAATATCCAGTGAACTGTAGTTGTGTGAACAAAAATGCCTTGTTGATGTCCGAGGAGAATGGGCAGACTGGTTTCTGCGACATTCAGATGGTAGGGTCAGAATTTAGGGTAAACAGTGAGAGCATGGATCCATCCTGCCTTGTATCAATGGTTCAGGCTGGTGGTGGTGTAATGGTGGGGGGATTTTCTTGGCATTAGCAAAGGTGTATGTAATAGTGTCCGATGAGTGTGTGCATGTAGTATAAACAACACACCCAAACATCAGAATGTGCGATTTATACATAGCATTGCAACACCTGGTTATATTCAATGTTGTTTGACAAACCCTGTAGGAGTGGTTTGGAAGGAGATGACAGGGAAAGCAAACTATGTGAATGATTGATTTTATTTCAAATATACACATTCTTTTTCTCATACACAAAAGCATATGAAGTGTTAGACCTATAGAGAAAACTGATTTACCATTGTCAGTCTATTTAACATAGTTGATATTCATATTTTTTTTACATATTTTCTCAGATTCTCAAAAATTAATGTCAGTAAAAGTTGCAAATTGAATAGATGAACAAAGTGCATCACAAATCTCAATGCATTTTGTGAACATGTAATTCACTTCATCAGGAGTAGGTGCTACTGACAGGGTAGCTATTAAATGAAAATGAACAAATTAGAGTTCTATAGTAATGCTACAATCATAAATTCATCTGCCCGAAGTAGAAAATTCCACTCTCATGGTCGGTTGTAAAAGTTATACACTTAGAGATCCACTTCAAAAGAAATTAAAAACCCCCAAACATTTTGGATGATAACTGTTAAGGGGCGTCTATCCTGGGAGCTGTGTGAAGTGGGCCCACATGGTCCAGCAAGACCACAGAAGAACAGACAAGTGTAATTGTTCACTAGAGAACTATCCTATAGCTGCTTAGGTGGCAGCATACACCTTTTATAGTAAAATTTGACTTATCTTGGCTAACTTTTGTTTGTACCAGTAGTATAATCGTCTATATTATTATCTTATCTTATATTATTATCTCATAAGATCTACTGTAAACTATACACACCTTTTTCATTTTTATGGCACTTAGACAATCTTGTTGATTCACCTAGTGTTATGTTACTGTATACATTTTGTTGTATTTAAAAAAAAAAAATAATAAAAATATATATATATATATATATATATATATATATATATATATATATATATATATATATATATATATATATATATATATATATGTTTAATGCTGTTTTTTTGTTTTTTTTTCTGTAGGCTTTAGTTGCTTCATTGTGGGCTCTAGTGAACAATTACACCTGGCTGTCCTTGTATTATTACTATAGAACTGTAATTTGTTCATTTTACAGATAACCTGTCAGAAACATCCACTGCTGATGTAATGGATTCACAAAATGCATTGAGATTTGTAATGCATTTTGTCCATTCATTTATTTTGCAAGTTTATGGAATTAATTTTGAGAATCTGTGGAACACTTCATATGCTTTTGTACAAAGAGTTTTTATTGGTGGATTTTTTAAAATAACATTTTTTTTTTACATAGTTTATAAAGTCCCATGGGCATTCAATATTTTTTGAATGGAGACACATCCGCCTATGTACCAGACCAAGTTTGAGATTTTGGAAGGAGATGACCGTTTGTAGTAGTGGTTGGAGGGGATTACATTTTGTTGGTCTGTGACACTCACTGTGTGTCCGAATGTGTTCAGCTTTTACAGTCTTTGCCAGGTTTTGTTGTTAAAGTTTGTCTTTACATCCAAACATTTAGTATAGGATTTTTCCATGTTTCAATGTTTTATATTGAATGCTGTGTTGTCCAATAAGAAAGCCCAGCACTAGCCCTGCAGTTGTTGCTCCTTCAGACTTAGATCTCCTTCACACAGCCTTTTAGTAACATACACCAGATTCCAGTGCATGCAGCTAAACTGCTGTGTGAGGGATAGGTGTCCAAGCCTGGACACACATGACTCCGTCCAGGCTTCAGCATCATCCCTAGTCGTAGGTAACTGATTAGTGTGTGGCTTTAGGAAAACGGCAATGGCTGCTGTCAGCCTGTCAATACTTTGTACAGGCTGAGCGGCTGCTGCTATATACACGAACCTGTCATTTCAGCCTCAACAGTCATTCCAGCTGCAAGAATCCACTGATTCTTGCCACTGGAATCCAGTGTATGTGGCTAAGTGACCATGTGAAGGAGGCCTAAAAGAATCTAAATGGCACACTCCCTTGTATACAAGATAGGAGGTGGGGTAGTTTTGCTATCTGAATGATTTAGCTGACTCATTTAGCTCCATCTGCCCAACCCAGGATCTTGCTGTTGCAGTAGACCAGATTTTTGAATCCATGGAGAACAAAATGCACTCTTCCCACCTGTTTGCTGTAATCCAGTACCAGATGTTTATATGTGGGAAAAAAAATGTACGTTCATTTTAAAACTCAAAGCTTTTATATACTTTGTAAATACATCCCAGTATTTGTGAATGATGTCTTTTCAACCTGTACTTCTTTTTAAGGTTTAAATGAGACCCCGGTAGGAAAAGAAACCCTGGATGCTTTGATGATCTTGGCTTTTTCAGAAAATTCTGACCTACAACATTCCGCTGCCCTTTACTATTTGCATTTGAGCCAGCATAGTAAGTGCCTGGATACTTTACTATAATTTTGTAAATTATCAATGTCACAAAACTTATCTAGTATTTTTTATATACTCTTTAACAATTTTTCCAAATGTTAAATACAGTATTAAGATATTTTGATGTTGTACAAGTAGGATGAGTTAGTTTAGTTCAATGTGCTGATATTATATTACTTAGAATGTATGTAGTTTCTGATAGATACTTGCTCTAAAACACATAAAAAGCATTGTATGCTAAACACTCTTTACATAAGGTGATGTTAAATCTCATTTCTATGTCTATCACATTAGTGAATACACTGCTGCCTGCAGAGTTCTTGGAGCCATATCAGCCTTTGCTACAGTCGGCTGACCTGGAGGTCCAACAGATGTCTTCCTTGTCTCTTGTGAATTTTCTTCTTGAAGGAAACTGTAAGTGAATAATACAGATTAATTGTCTATAATATTAAATTTTAAAATTGCCAGCTAAGCTTACATTCTATTTAATGTTCATAAAGTCATAATATAGTTTTTCATTTGTGAAAAAAAGTAATAAGCAATATCTGCAATCTCCCTCCATAAGTGCTAGCTGCACACAAATCTCAGTGTATCTAAAAGTTAAAACGTTGCTAAGGGTTAATTTTTTTTTCTTTTGGTAAAATAACAAACATGTCTCTACTTGCCTGCTATGTGTAGTGGTTTTGCACAGAGCAGCCTGGATTTTCCTCTTCTCAGGTCCAACGAAGGCTCTCCTGGCTCCTCCTTCCTGTCGGGTGCCCCCATAGCAAGCAGCTTGCTATGAGGGCACCTGCTGCTGCTCCGTTTGTCCATTCACACGGAGCTGTGATTTGACCCTGCCCCTCTCTCTCTTCTAATTGGCTGACTGGGTGTGATTGACAGCAGGGGGAGCCAATGGGAGGCAGAGACCCGGGACAGCCGAGGCTGTTTCACCCCATGAGGAGGCAGAGACCCGGGACAGCCGAGGATGTTGTGCACATCACTAGATCTCAATGGGGCTCAGGAAACTGGTGAGGGGGCTGGGGGCACTGCTGCACACAAGTTTTTTACCTTCATGCATAGAGCTTTTACAACCACTTTAAACTTCATTCAAGATTTGTTTTTAAAATATATTTTGGCTGTCCAAAAATAGCACAGGTTAATGTGGCAAAGCAGTCAATACGCCATGGTCCTTTTGGGATCTAATTCCTGATTAGAAACGACAGAACACTTCCACACATGTGACTGTGCCTAGCCATCTTCATTCATCTAACCTCTTAGGAACCTTTCAGGGGTTTTACATAGTTGGAGGCATATCCTACCCCTTCTGTTTACTAAATTACATTCATGACATCTGGGGAAGGAAAGGGGGAGGTTTAGGAGCAGGAATAGCTGCCCTTTTACCTGGTGCACAATCATGCTGAATAGATGGTAAAGTCGGTCTAGGCATAAGAACAGTTGCATAATGTTTAAGTTGTATGCCATTCCCAGCTTAGTTGTCTAATACAATTTGTATGTGAGAGCTTCTTCATGCCAGAAGCATGGTCATTCATTTCTTTTCATTTTCAGGACAAGGCAAATGCATGGGCATAAGAAAATACATTGCTTTCATTAGAATCTCTTGAATGCTTGTTGTTTTTTTTTTTAGAACGTCCTATATCCACTTGCGGACCACCCGCGTGCAATATACTGCATACGGGTGGACCTTACAGCTACAGCGATTGTACCAGATTCATGGCCGGGACCTGCTGATTGATTGACTGTGTCCAATCACAGCCTAGAACCCTGTGTTGACAATCAACAAAGGGCTCTGTACAGAGTGAACAATCTCTCTGCAAAGCAGGGTGCAGAAACAGAGATATTTAGTAAAAAGCAGCACATAAGACACACATTACACATTGTTGGGTACACTTTTAACCCCTTGATTACTTGAGATAATCCCTTCCCTGCCAGTGTCACTATACAGTCACAGTGTATGGTATTATCACTGCTCTCTGTTTTTAGGCTGTATTGATGTCACTGAAGCAAGTGTCAGTCCCCATCCAATGTCAGTTAGATTTAGATTGCCTGCCACACTATCACAGTCCCAATAGAAGCTGATCCACCACCATTACTAGTATTAAAAAAAAAAAGGAAAAAAAAATCCAGTCTATATACAGAACAGTTTGTAGACGCTATAAATTTAAAGCAAAGCAGTCAATGTACACTTATTGGGATTTTTTTTGCTAAAGATGTAACAGAATACATTTTGGCCTAAATTTATGAAGAAAGTTGTTTGTTTGGTCCCCCCCCCCCCCCCCATCCCGCACCGCATTAGTGTGAACCATGTCTTAGCTGTTTATTTTTAATTTCGTTTAGCCAGTCTTGTGACCCAATGAGGCGGCGGCTACACAAAAGCAGTTTCCACTCTGTAATACACAGTGTTAAAGCACATGCGTTGATTACCAACCTGGGCTCTGTTTGTACATTTGTACCCACAGTCTGCTCCTGATGGCAGGTGGCATCGATGGTCAACAGTTATGCATACAACATCCACTCACAGCTGCTCATTGCTGAGGTTTCTAAATGCAGCTATGGCAGAAGATGTGGAAGTTGAGACTTATGTTGGAAGGAGGCATTCATAATATGCCACTGCTATTGAACTTGGTACTTTTGTAACATGTTTCCTCCATTGATTCATTGCATAATTTTTTTTTTATAGGGGTCAATTCACTAAAGGTTACCGCATGTGATAACACTGTCACATGACTCAGTCACATAAATTATCGCATGCGGTAAAAAAACTAAACATTTGTCGGTAAATATTGCAGTAAGCTGCATCTGGTCAATTCACAAATAGAACAGGAAGTAAAAAAAACTTGCAATATTTATCACCAAGATTTTGCTGGCTGTATCACATGCGTTTTTTTCTGATCCTTTTGAGGGTGTTTGGAGATAATGAAAAAATCAGCCATGGAGGTATTTGAATGTGTTCTCCTGCAGTTCAACCTCCTGAGAAGGCATCTTAGGAGGAGAAGAGTGATCCTCATGGCTCCAAGGCATTTTCACTGCAGTCAAAAATGCATCCCACTACTGGTGTGCATGGGCCCTTTAAGTGGTCTCTGTCAGTGGTCAGTGTCAAAGCAATAGCTGCTTTGCTTGAGACGTGCATATGCACAGCAGTTTCAGTAACACATGCAAAACCGCAATCTTGGTCAGCTTTTGCAGTCTCTCAATTCCTGCCTCAAGTTTTTAGAGTGCATGCATATTGACATGGAGATTTAGCTAGCAGTGGCTTGCATGGTTGCTGCAGAGTGGTGTCAATGGTTAGTTTATGCACAGTTTGCATGCCAAAAGCGCGCTTGTTTGCACTTGCCATTTGTTCAGCTTGGCTCAGCACATTGGGCTTCTTTTCCTGAGCTGTCTGTCTCTCCATCAGGGGCAATAGTCCAGCGGAAGTGATATAAATCCTGGCTCTGCCCACTGGAAATTACTTTCGACACAGGGACATCTGATTACCACATGAAAATATGCAGGAATTACCAATATTTTTTCCGCAGTACTTATTTACTGCAAAATTCTTAGTCAATTGCACATTTGCAAAAGACTTTTTACTGCATGCGTTATCTTACCGCATTTTTACAGTCGTTATTTAACTCTTATGTGACTGACTTGTACCCTGTGACAACAGAGAAACTCTGAAATATCTCCAATATCAAGGCTCCTAAGGCAATATGATACATCTGGTAAACATGGGTCTGTGGACACTGGTATTCTGGAATTGTCACCTTCTGCATCTTTGGTATCAGGACCCCTCTTGTAACATTACTTCTCTGGTGACATTACTCTAATCCGGGCAATAGTATTGCACTGGTTATATTTCACTATATTTTCAACTGTGGGGTAGTTTCAGTTGTGGGGCAGGAGGGAATGCTTGAGGTGCCAGAGATTCCAGGCCTACAGGGTTGAAGGCTCCAAATCTAGCTCTATATTTTATTATTGCAGTTGAACATGCATGCTCATGTAACACAAATATAGTGTGATTTGCTTCTTCAGTAAGATTTTAAAATACTTTTGCTTTGTAGGTAAGTAAACATAATTACACCTCTTTTTAATTTTTTGTGTACAGTGAGTAAGGAGCTTGTTGTCCAAGTGGGATTGCTTGAGCCAATACTTGAGCTGCTGGAATCAGGGGATTCTGCTGTACAGTGTAACTCCTGCGCATGCATCATGACATTGGCTATCTCTGGTGAGCAACAGTAACACAATAGTGTGTGTAATTATTTTTTATTATACTTACTATAATGTGTTTTCCATCTTAATTTATAAAACAACTGTAATATACTGAAGTTAAAAGAAGCAAAAAGGCAAATATATAATTGTAGCTACATGCAGATTGCATATACTGTGGTAAATCTCATTTTCAATATATGTATTGTTTTTCAGAATCAAATAGAGAGGCTATTGGTATTGCTGGAGGGATCCTTCCTCTTCTGACATTGGCAAAGTCTTATGATCCCAGAGTCCAGCAGAATGCTGTTGGGGCTATTCTGAACTTGACTCGATCAGGTTGCTATATTTTGGATTCCGTGTGTGTGTGTGTGTGTGTGTGTGTTTTCTTTTTGAATAGAATGTCTGTCTTGAAAAGTTCAGTCAGTTGAACAATATTGATCACTTATTGTGTGACATAAAACATAGCCAACAGAATTTGGGCTCCCCAATTTGAGCTACAGGGCTACAGTCTATTGCAATATGATAACATTGTTCTGGAGTGTCTGCTGTGCATTCGGTGACAAAAGGAGTTTTTGGCACTGTACACACAGAGTCTCCAGAACAGCAGGGGAAGATGAGCAGGAAGTGGGAGATACACCCTTGAAACTTTGAAGCATTTTTTAGATCTCTTACATCTAAGATACACAGGTGGTTAAAGCAAGCCCTCAATGACCTGTGTAGCTGCAGGCACTATGGAGTCATTAATCTATAAATTTAACAGCAACAGTAATTATGTAAGCCAGCTTAGCAGAGTGAGCTGAGCTGCTGAGAAAATGGACTAGAACTCGAATTTTGCGTTTTCTGCTTGGATATTGGAGGATAAATTACTCCGTTATCTGCAGCTACAGAGATCACTAAGGGCCAGTCCTGTGTGTGTGTGTGTTTGTTACCGTAAGATAAAGCTATCTTACATTGGTGTTTAGATTTTTATTTTTTTTTTTAATATGCTGAATTTTCTGTAAGCATTACTTATATTATTTAATTTTTTTTTTTTCTTCTGTAAATGTCATTGTAGAGCGCATTAAAAGTATCTTGTGCCGAGAAGGAGCTCTTCCAGTCTTGACTCTGCTTCTGCAGTCAGCTGATTCAGAAATCCAGGTATGAAATGGTGTCAGTTGCTCTAGTCTGTATCCTTGGTGCCCAACCTAGAGCCCTTTTGGTACAGTGGATATAAAAAGTCTACACACCCCTGTTAAAATGTCAAGTTTCTGTGCTGTAAAAAAATGAGACAGAGATAAATCATTTCAGAACTTTTAGCACCTTTTAATGTAACCTATAAACTGTACAACTCAGTTAAACAACAAAGTGAAATCTTTTAGGTGCAGGGAAGTAAAAATAAAAAAAACTAAAACAATATGGTTGCATAAGTGTGCACACCCTTAAACTAATACTTTGTTGAAGCACCTTTTGATTTTATTACAGCACTCAGTCTTTTTGGGTATGAGTCTGTCAGCATGGCACATATTTACTTGGCAATATTTGCCCACTCTTCCTTGCAAAAACACTCCAAATCTGTTAGATTGCAAGGGCATCTCCTGTGCACAGCCCTCTTCACATCACCCCACAGATTTTCGATCGGATTCAGGTCTGGCTGGGCCATTCCAAAACTTTAATCTTCTGGTGAAGCCATTGCTTTGTAGATTTGGATGTATGCTTTGGGTCGTTGTCATGCTGAAAGATGAAGGTCTTCTTCATGTTCATCTTTCTAGCAGAAGCCTAAAGGTTTTGTGCCAATATTGACTGGTATTTGGAACTGTTCATAATTCCCTCTACATTGACTAAGGACCCAGTTACAGCTGAAGAAAACAGCCCCAAAGCATGATGCTGCCACCACCATGCTTCACTGTGGGTATGGTGTTCTTTTGGTGATGTGCAGTGTTGTTTTTGCTCCAACCATATCTTTTGGAGTTATGGCCAAAAGGTTCAACCTTGGTTTCATCAGACCATAACACATTTTCTCGTATTCTTTTGGGAGACTTCAGATGTGTTTTTGCAAAATTTAGCCGGGCTTGGCTGTTTTTCTTCGTAAAAAAAGGCTTCTGTCTTGCCACTGTACGCCATAGCCCAGACATATGAAGAATATGGGAGATTGTTGTCACATGTACCACACAGCCAGCAGTACTTGCCAGATATTTCTGCAGCTCCTTTAATATTGCTGTAGGCCTCTTGGTAGCCTCCCAGACCAGTTTTCTCCTTGTCTTTTCATCAGTTTTGGAGGGATGTCCAGTTCTTGGTAATGTCACTGTTGCGCCATATTTTCTCCACTTGATGATGTCTGTCTTCACTGTGTTCCATGGTATATCTAATACCTTGGAAATTCTTCTGTACCCTTCTCCTGACTGATACCTTTTAACAATGAGATCCCTCTGATGCTTTGGAAGCTCTCAGCGGACCATGGCTTTTGCTGTAGGAAAATACTAAGAAAATGTCAGGAAAGACCTGCTAGAACAGCTGATCTTTATTTGGGGTTAATCAGAGGCACTTTAAATGATGGCAGGTGTGTACTGTCTCCTATTTAACATGATTTTGAATGTGATTGCTTAATTCTGAACACAGCTACATCCTCATAAGAGGGTGTGCACACTTATGCAACCATTTCAGTTTGCTTTTCAATTGAGTTGTAGAGTTTATAGGTCAGATTAAAGGTGGAAAAAGTTCTGACATGTTTTATCTTTGTCTCCTTTTTTACATCACAGAAATCTGACATTTTAACGGGTGTGTAGACTTTTTATATCCACTGTATATAATGTGCAGCCCTTGGACCTCTGCAGTCTGTAGTGAAAACATTGTTTAGAGTAATGGCATTGATCTCTACTAACCTCAAACATTCCCAGATTCGTATTGTCAGCTGCTACATATCCCTAACCAAAAATGTAGCATTTCCACATTGTCTAAACCTTCATTTTCCCTATCAGATCTGCAGTTTCTGACAGTCCTATCCTCTCAAGTATTACAGATATTAAACATTATATGTGGCCTTTTGTTGAGATCAGGAGCCACATTTGAGGCCCCCTTTTAGCTCTTAAGTTGGCAACCACTGGTTATATGAATAGATGGATTGTTTGTATTTTTAAAGAAAACACATGACTGTTGGAATCTTACTCTCTGTTATCCTAAGGGTAAAATATCAGTCAGCCGATACTTTGTGGCTTTGTGACCCCACTCTGGCCAGAAAATTTAACTTTTTGCCTTCCGACAAACATTTCTTCCTTTTTACTTAACAATAAGGAGCAGTGAGAGCAAATTTTTTTTTTTTTTTTACAAAGCAAGTGATGGTAACCGTCGTCAATATTGGATCAGTTATCAGCTCCCATCTTCTTCATTCCTAATCATGGTTGTTTGTAACAGCAAGAGATTAAAGAATATGCAAGTGCAAATTTAAGAGGAACATTTCAGGAGAGCAGTAAGCGAGTTGTCATTGATGACCTGTTCATTTTCACTAACTATGATACTAATGTTTTCCTTTACTACTTGGTCACTGATTCATTGTAGAGAAGTAGAGACATACCCAAAAAAACTTACAGCTGTAATTGCAGCGAAAGGTGGTTCTACAGAGTATTGACTCGGGGGGGGGGGGGGGGGGGTAGGTTTGGCTGAATACAAATGCACTTAATATACACTTTTAAGATGTTTATTTGTAAAAAGTTTTGAAAAACATTTATCATTTTCCTTCCACTTCACAATTATGTGCCACTTTGTGTTTGTCTATGACATAGAAACCCAATAAAATACATTTACATTTTTGGTTGTAACATGACAACATGTGGAACATTTCAGGGGGTATGAATACTTATTCAAGGCACTGTGTATATGCATATTACAATAATAAGAACCAGCAGAACCCCTCCATTTATGACACAATGTTTCTTTGCCAGTATGATGAGAGAGAGATATATTGAATATTTATTCCACTTGTTGATTTCCTTGGTTTACTATAAACCCAGAAATAGAATGAACAAAAAGTTAGACAGAAAATAAACTTAGAAATATAATATATGTGTATGTATAAAATTAAATTGCATACCATCCCCCTGTAGTGTATATGGCATTTCAAGAACTGTTTCCACTATTTCCTCCCATTGACTTTGGGCATAGTTGTCCTTTGCTTTAGCCTCAGAATATGAAGATATGACTCCACTCTGTAGAATGCAGCCTTTTTATTATAGTCATTGAGTGTTACTGGCATAAAAACAGCTGTTTTACTAGTTCTAAGATGAAAACCTAATCGCATCTAAACACGTGACAGGACATCCGCCCAAAATAATGAATTTAGCATGAGTCGAGTTGTAGGCATTTGTTACCTAAAGGAAGCCCATGGTGAAGCTGCTTCTTCTTTTTTTTTTTTTTTTTTTTTTTTTTTTTTTTTTTTCCTCCTCCTCTGATCATGCACCTATATGTATTGGCGTTCATATAGTTTGAATGTCCGTACTGAAATTGTGACAGCAAAAAGACATCTAGTTCTCTTAACAGTGAATCAGTTAGGGAGAGCTGGTCATAAGCTGAGCCAAGGTGGACTTTCTAGGAAAGTGTATTCAGAAACTGTACAACAATAGTGATGAGGGAAGGGATCTGGCAGTAGTTTTAGCACTGCCTTCGACAACAGCTGACTAGAAAACATTGCACACACATTCTGCATGGGCCCTATAAATGCTCAAAGGAAAAATTGTCAAAGGAAAAAACATAATACTAAAAAGGACATGCTGTAAGCAAGGTAATAAAATGAATGGTGGAATGTCACACTAGCAGGTTGTATCTTCACCATTAAAGGGAAGTGCATAGTTTTTAAAGGATATGTCAAGGCAAAAAAACTCTCTGCACCTTTATCCCAAGGAATAGAAAAATACTTGGTGGTTTGTCAAAAATACACTATGCATATAAACCCTGTTGTGGGTTGCCAACACACGGCATTTTTGTTGAATTAGTTTTCTTAGCCCTGCCCAATGTATTTTACCAAAATATTAAACCACTCCTGCTTTCAGATCTCCAATATAAAGGCTAATAATTTGTGGTCCAAGATAAGTAAGAAGGCTCTTTGAGAGAACACAGGACACAAGACCGCTCTTAATTTCTGACAAATCAACAGGGATTTTTTTACTTATAAAACAGATATAGCAAAACATTTCCAGTGGTATATTTCACAAACTAAAAGGGATCAAAAAATAATTTTTGATTGTGAGGATTCATACACTTGTGAACTAAATTTTAGATCAATAATAATTTTTGATTGTGAGGATTCATACACTTGTGAACTAAATTTTAGATCAATAATAGAGATTGTTAGCCTATGTCTGTTGCTAACAAAGATCACTACTTTAAACTAACTGAAAGTACATTCTTCTTTGCTTCATTCCAATCTGTCATGTCATCTTGGCACAATGAATTCTGTTTTGACAATCGGAGACCATGGGTGTGAATCTGAATACCACTAGTTATAGATGCATAAAAGCCATTTAGAACTTGTAAATGTCAAGCTTTCTATAGGGCTGAACAATCCTGCTGCCCATTCCAGAATTCACCCATGAACCGGGGTTTTAAATGAGTAGTGGAACAAGTCCTTGAATATGCTGGTAAACTGATAAAGCTTTTAGGGTTCATCATATATAGTATGTAATCTAAAGGAAGAGTGATTGATTTAGCTTTTAAGAGTTTTTTTTTTTTAAAACCAAATAACTACCTTTTTTATAATCAAAAGGCAGTATCCCATATCTCAAATAGTTATGCGTATTTGTATGTATGCATACTTGTTCAGCACCTGAGGAAGACAGGCTTGTGCCTCATCCAAATAAACCTTATCACTAAATGTTCACCTTTCAAGTCCAACTTGAATGGCACCTCACCTTTTGGATATGTATCTTATGCTTTTGCTGAGCAACCAGCCCATTTTCTCTTGACTATGTGTGCAGTATCAACCACTGGATTATATGGCATTGGAAGCATATCTGCTTTCATGACTGGTTCCCTTCAATGCTGCATTCAAATATATGCACTAATTGCACGGCTGATGCTTTCTTAGCTGATTTGTATTTAAACTGCTGGCATGTTTTGAATTGTTTAAAATAAGGACTCTGCTAATATATTAAATGCCTTTGGCATCCTTCTCTGTTCTGAATTTTGTTGTAATTTTGTTCTTTATTGTTAACAATCAGGGGAATTCATAAAGAGTCAGGTAGACACTTTAAAATTCCACCAGGGCTCAGCACCGAGCTTGTGCCCAATTAATGTACCAATCAGAGACCGATACATGAATTTGTCCATGTTTGCACTGGGGCAGAAGAGTCCACACTCCATACTCCTTGCCCTAAGCACTTACTCCTGGTCACTGCGCTGTCACACTAACGGCACTTTTCTGAAGAGTTTTCTACTAGGGGAGGGTGGAGCCTGACGGAGACTAGTTCCCTATCGGGCCCCCTCCACTTTGGCAGTGGAGTGGGCGGATTCATAATCTCTATTCAGTCAAGTAGTGGCTTTCGAATCTGTCCACTGCTGTGCACTGTAGATCAGAAGTGGAGCAGACCTGATGGGAAACGAATCTCTCAGTTCCCCATAAGGTTCCCCCCTACCCATTAACAAGACATTTCCTAAATACCCATTTCCGGATAATGACATCAGCTGTTGTCCCAGTCTTTTGTTTCATTTAGCTTTTGACTGGAAAATCTCTCAGCTGACAGTTAAATGAGGCAGTGATGCAGCTCATGTGGGAAGCTGTCCCAGACCTAAAAGCTTCCCAGCACAGGTATAGCATACCTCCTGTACACCAGATCAGATTTGATCTTAATTACTGCCAGTTTTCTAAATGGAGAGCTGGCAGTAATTCATTAAGAATTTTGTCACTGCCATAGTGATAGATTCTTAAAGTGGCAGTAGTAAGAACTATTTGTCACATGTGTTGGAAGATTTATGGCACAAATGCTTCCCTGAATTAGGGGCAGGTACCTCTTAAGAAAATTACCACCAGAAAAAACTGTCGTTAAGGCCATTTTGAATTCCCCTGAATGTATGTTTTTGTATATTATTCCCTCGCTGTGTCCTTCTTAGTTTGGCATTAGATTGTAATTCTTTTGTTAACAGTGTGCGCCACTATAAGGTTCGGTGGCTTATTATAGTGTTCTTTGAATGTTCTTTTGAAAGATAATAATCTATTGGTGTTTTTCTTTTATTATATTCTGACAATATAAATAGAACTATCTATATTCTCAAAGTTGGGATGTTAATGAGAGATGTTTCTATTGCCAAGTGGTTTTATGAACTGTTAAAGGATATCATCACTTTCTTCTATCTTTTCTGCAGTACTATAGTTGTGCCTCATTGGGTAACATTGCCGCTAATCCGGAGCATCATAAAGCCATGCTAGCCATTGGTGACAAATTCCTACTCCGAATGCTGGTCTCTCTGATGTCTTCGTCTGTGCAGAAGGTGATGCACATTATTTACATCCTTTTAAAATAAACTTGTGGGGATGGAACTATGGGAGCTGCCTTCGCTGATGCCAGGGCAGTCACCCTTCTCTATACAACATATCAGCATTTTCTAAACTGTCTAAAACTGAGGGAGTGTGCATGTATTGGAGGGATGTACTGAAAATGGCATACACTTTAACTTTTCTGTTTACACAGAGGAGTGGTTGAACTATGCATGTTCATAGTCATAAATGGCAAATCAGTTCTGTGGCATAAACTTGTCTTTCTATTTTGTTTGCTTTAACCAGGTCTCAAGTCAGGCGTGTCTTTGTTTAAATAACCTAGCTTCAAGTGGTAAGGCATTTGTTTATTACTTTTTTTTTTTTTTTTTTACTAATTAAACTGTTAAAAAAAGGTGTGTTGTGGTATTTCATGCTGTGACTTAGTTTAAAGTGAAATATACAGTGTTTTCTATATTTTTGCCCAGGGCTAAAAAAAGAAAAAAAAAGTGCCTGCTAAAAAAGTTTTTGTACATTTTGAAAATACATTTAAATAAAAGATTCTGTCCGACTGGCACTTTCTTAATATAAAGCTGTATAAAAGACTTGACTACCCTCCCGACCGCATTTGGAAATTTTTAGTTGCTTGTCTGTGTTTGACTTCAGTGCTGGGTCGTGACTCCAAAAATACCGTTTGTAATTGAGCTGGCCTGGCAACTAAAGGTTTTAAAAGGCAAATTTAGAAATGGCAGCCCATGTATTGTCCTCAATACAGGATTCCGTTAGGTGTGATAGGTTTAAAGGATATCTGGTATCTTTTTATTGAGCTGTAGGTTTGTCCCTGAACCATAATTAGACAACCTTAGCTTGTATGAGTAATATATGACAAACCTAAAAAATGGCAAATGCAAATATTATATCATTGAATCATTCTTAGTTTAAGAATAATATCAGACATGACTGCCCTCTTTAATGTTACTAAAGGTGTTTTTTTTTTTTTTTTTAAGGGGAAGTTCAGACTCACCTCCTGGCTATGGACATCATGCCTCTCGTCCTTTGCTTGCTCAACTCTAGCAGTAGAGATGTCCGACAAGCTTCCATTACTCTTCTTTGCACCATGTCTCACTCACCTGGAATCATGGTAACCATTTGACTTGAGCTTTGCTGCATTTTGTCCTGTTCCATGCCTTTGATGATGGTAACTCCTTTTTTTGACATTAGGTGTACTCCTTACAAATTGTTAAGCACAAGTATGTGTTTAAAAAAATAATCAAATTACAAGAGTCAGTCACAGAAGCATAGCTGTGATTTTTTTTTTTTTTTTTTTCTATTACATATGTTTAAACAAAAAAACTAGAGACAAAATAATAACTGAAAATCTGTTCCATCAGATATGACTGGTTGGTTCTGTGATCTTTACCACCAAATATGCTGTGGTGTTGTAGGGAAATTATTCTCTCCACTAATGGCTATGGTTGCAGGTTGTTTTTGTTGGTCGTTAAGTATAATTGCTAATTGTTTGTTGATTGTGGTACCTTGGATCCTGTTGTTCACTTTTGACGTTCACGTGACGTTTGACACTTTGCTAATGTGTAGAGGCCTAATGTGTTTTCCATACCAAAAAAAACATCCTGTTACAACTCCAACACTAATCTTAAACTTTAACACATTGTTGTTAAAATTGCTACATTCTAACCCTGATGTCTGCACATTTTATTAGATATTGAGGTACATCAGACTAGTCAACACTTTCCAACCTGCAGTTTTGGTGATGAGGGGCACACTGTAGCTTCAGTTTTTTATTCTTGGCTGACAGGCATGATATCCAGCATGACCCTCTGTATTTGTTTTAAAACGATTTTTATTAACGAATTGCAGATCTGCACTGCGGCCAGCCAGTTCTGGGTGGACGTCATATGACGTTTTCCCAGAACGCGCTGTCCTATGGACACAGTTGATCACGTGATGTGGTAAAAGGCCAATCACAGTGGCCTTTACCACATGATCAGCTGTGTCCAATGAAACGTTGATCACAGGGAAATGCAATTGCCGGTTCCCGGCTGCACTTTCCTCACGCTATCAGAGCGTGAGGAAAGTACTGCTGAGAACTGGCAGTTGTCAGAGCGGGGATTGGCACCGATCATCAGGGCACTGATGATCAGTGCCTTGATGATCGGTGCCCAGCAGTGCTGCCAGTCAGTGCCCAGCAGTGACGCCAGTCAGTGCTGGTTATCAGTGCCACCTCATTAGTGCTGCCTATCAGTGCTGCATCAAAAACTCACATCAGTGAAGGAGAAAAATTACCTGTTTGCAAAATTTTATAATAGAAACAAAAACTTTTTTTTTCAAATTTTTTGCTCTTTTTTTGTTTATAGCGCAAAAAATAAAATGTCCAGCAGCGATTAAATACCACCAAAAGAAAGCTCTGTTTATGAGAAAAAAAATTATAAAAATTTCATATGGGTACAATGTTGCATGACCGCGCAATTGTCATTCAAATTGCAACAGCGCCGAAAGCTGAAAATTAGCCTGGTAAAGAAGGGGGGTATAAGTGCCCGGTAGGCAAGTGGTTAAAGGATAGACAACAATAACAGTATAACCATGACCCTCTGTTTTTTAGCCCACCCACTTCAAGGTTTGAGGTTCAATGAATTCTGGTATGCCCTTCTGCCCATCAGAGTTGTAAAGAATGTTTGTTTCTGTGAGGTCAGAGGTGTGTGTGTGTACGTGTGTGTGTACGTACGTTTACTGTGCGAACGTTTTAGGCAGCTTTGAAGAAATGCTGTAAGTAAAAATATTTTCCAGAAGATGGATCTAAATCAAATCAATATTTGGTGTGACCACCCTTTACCTTCTAAACAGCATCAGTTTTTCTGATGTATAACAAACATGTTATACTCGCCTGCTCTGTGAAGTGGTATTGCACAGACTGACCCTGGTCCTATTCTCAGGTCCCCCCTCCGGCGATCTAGGCTGCTACTCTTCTTCTTGTGTACCCATAGCAAGCTGTTTCCTATGGGGAAACCCGCTGCGTGCATGCTTCTGACCTATGTGTTTACAGAGCCACGCTCCATTGACACATACAGTGGGACTTAGCCCTGCCCCCCCATTCCCTCTTCACTACATTTGATTGACAACAGCAAGAGCCAATGGCTCCTGCTACTGTTTAAGTCCCTGTGGGAAGAGAAGATTGGGTGAATAGATGGAGCCATGCACAGCGCTGATCTCTTCTCCCTCTCTTCCCCTTCACACAGGGAAGGGGGAGGACCGACAAATCAAAAGCGTTTTTTTACCGTAATGCAAGCAATGCATTAAGGTAAAAAAAACATTTTTAGATTTAGTATCACTTGAATGCAGCAGATGAAAGACGCATCATGCTTACTTCCATTTGACATTGGAAGAGGTCTGGCAGTGCCATCAGCACAGAACTGGCAGAAACCAGTGGGTCCTGGTGAATTGTGGCCAAAAAACCATACCTCTGAAGCGGAAACAAGGTTAAGTGACTCAACTTTGCACGAAAACATAGGAACTGGAGTGCAGAAAAATGGCAGTGGGTGCTCTGGACTGATGAATCAATATTTGAAATATTTGGCTGTAGCAGGAAGCTGTTTGTTCGCAAGGGGCTGGATAGCGATACAATAATGAGTGTCTGCAGACAACAGTGAAGCATGGTGGAAGTTCCTCGCAAGTTTGGGGCTGCATTTCTGCAAATTAAGCTAGAGATTTGATCAGAATTAATGGTGTCCGCAATGCTGAGAAATACTGGCAGATGCTTATCCATTATACCATACCATCAGGGAGGTATGTGATTGCCTCCAAATTTGTTCTGCTGCAGGACTACAACCCCAAATATGCAGCCAATGTTAAGAACTATTTTTGGTGTAAAGAAGAACAAGAAGTCCTAAAATTGATGGTTTGGCCCCCACAGAGCCCTGATTTCGACACCATCGAGTCTGTCTGGGATAACATGTAGAGACAGAGGGTTTCGCACAGCCTACATCCACAGAAGATCTGTGGTTAGTTCAAGATTTTTGGAACAACCTACCTGCCAAATTCCTTCACAAACTGCAAGTCTTCCTAGAAGAATAAATGCTGTTTTTGAAGGCAATGAGTGGTCACACCAAATATCGATTTGATTTGGAGGTTTTTTTTTTTTTGTTCATGTACTTTCCATTTTGATAAAAAATAAACTATTAACACCTCCTATTTCTGAAAAATTTCTTAATATACAGCATTTTTCACACCTGCCTAAAACCTTTGCACAGTAGTGTGTGTGTGTGTGTGTGTGTGTGTGTGTGTGTCTGTGTGTCAGTCAGTCTCATGTATAACATTTTTTTTTTTCTTTCTGCTGGGGATGTCACATATATTATGCTTTCTTGCTGGATTACAGCTTAAAGTTTATTCAGTGGTTGACAATGCCTCAGCCTTTACATACATGCTTTGCACACAACAAATGATGGAATCCTATGCAGTACACTAAAATCCAAACATTAAAGATGCCCTCACAGCCTCACCACTGGTCTTTTGAAAACTAACAAAGCAATAAGTAAGAGCAGCATCACCATAGTAAGAAGTATTACTTTTTTTTAGGCGTGAAGGGAGCCCCAAACACATGTTTAATACACAACTCCATTGTAAAACTAAGAAGTACACGTTACCTTTTCCCTAAAGATAATAAACCATTAATGAGGTAGATATTCTATAAAAGCATAGTATTTAAAAGCAGATAATAAGAAATCAATTTAACCGTATAGGCACAGTACTCGCCATACATACCCATCAATGCGGACTACCTTTCCCTCAGATGAGAAAGTCACGCCTTAAGCTGCGCTATCATAATCATTAACCTTGAGTTAGTTGTAATACAACTATATTGAAGAAAAGAAGGCTAGAGATCCCATGAAAATGGGAAAATAAAAAAAAGTGGAAAAAGATAATGGGGGGTGTATTACAGGAGCTGTTCTCTTTCCATGTTTGTTTGTCTTTTTTTCTTTTTCGAAGATACCTTGCCACATCTCCTCTTCAACACTGACATTCTTCTATATGACATCTCCAACTATATCCTTACTCAACTCCCATTCCACATTGGTCACTACATTGCTGTCATCACTTGACTTGGACAATGCGCCATGGGTGTTGCTACGTTGTTAACTATGAAGTAAAGAATAGTTCTTCTAGTGTCACTTGTTTCTTTCTTTTCCAATTTTTAATTGCATTTTATTATTGTTTGGAGCAAAAATACAGAAAATATTGGGAACATGTTTTCTACAGAATAAAAAAATGATTATTTGAGGACCCAGAATGCAAAGCTATCTCGCCCAGAAATGTAGAAGGGCATAGATGGCTAAATTGTATGCTGTTTTTGACACTTGAATCAGGGGTACTGGGAGAACAAACAAACCATAAAGTCTTTCTAAAGGTTTATAAGCTGTATTGTTTTGTAAAATGTTTTATGGGTGACAAGTGCACATCAAAGAATATTTTGTCAGGATAAATCATATTGTATGTGAGATTAAGATAAACTGTTTGGGTGTAGTTTTTATTTGCCACAATAAATGCAGAGTAAACTTTTATCTGCAGCGTTCTGCAAGCTTGTTATATTTTAATTTTAAGGAAAGTATGCTGTCTGCTTTATACTGTCAGAACACATCCATCATTGGTTTATTTTTTTGTTCTTTCAGGATGTCTTGCTGTGCGAAGAAATGCTGCAGCATTTAGCAATGTTGATGCAGACAGAGAGGGCAAATCCTGTGGTTGTGATTCATGTAGCTTGCACCATCCAGAATCTGAGCCAAGCAAAGGACATTGAGGTACCTATATCTGCCAAGAAATGCTGAAGTCGCAGGTTAATTCCCATTAGAGCACTTTCTATGTTAGTCAAAAGAACTTTTCTGCAAGATATTAAGGGCCATTTTGGACCTGTCCATCCTGGTACATTGCACTAACGTTGTGTTAAGGCAGCCCATTCAAATGAATAGACTGCCAATACACCAGAATGGACCAAAAATTGAACCTAAAACGTTTTTCTGACACACCACAGTGCACTGTAGTGCATTGGCATGCCTTGTGGGGCACAATAATGCATGTGCTAATGCGTTAAGGTGCTATTATTTCTGAAGAGCACTGCAACGTATAGAACGTTTGTTGCAGTAACATCTGTGTTTCCACAAAACATACACCACACTGGAGAGGGCTGAATGAGTCATTAAATGAGATGTATAGTCAAAGCTATTTTGAATGCTGTGATTGGTTGTCACAGCGGTTACATAGTCGGAAAGCTCCGTATTGCAAGTATCTATCAGGAGCCTTCTGGTCCCTGCCGGTATCTGTGCTGGTAGTGCCCAGGGAGTGTGCTCTCAGCACAGAAAAATATTTACATCAAGCTGCATATATGCATACTATTGGAAGAGGTTAAAATCACTTTATTACTGGTAATCTGGAAATCCAGTTTACATAAAATAGCCACATTTTCCCAATCACGGAATAATAAAGTCTATAAGGAAGCAGCATCCTGCTTGCTGCATTAGATTAAAACGCAAACTAAAGTAACGTAAGTGAACTTTTTGACACTGTTGTATTTAGAGCACAGAGTTGAAAATCTGCTCTGGCAACAGACCTCTTGACCTGCTCCTAATCATCCGAGTTATTGACCATATTACAATGTTTCCTAATGAAAAACACAAAATGTGTAGCCAGTCAGTACTTTAAAAACTGAAGTATGGAAACCTTCCACAATCACGTACTCTATTTAATGTAATGAATCTCTGTGACAAAATTATTCTGGGGTTCCCTGAGCAAGATATTCTCAAGATATTTGTACAATGTTTAGTCTGCTGAGGAAAGCCTTGCATTGACAAACAAAACTGTTTGGATTATTTCTAAAGCTGCATTATAAAATAGTTTAACAGGTTGTGGAGCACTTTTACTTTACATTTTACATTTCACCTATATGCTGTATGAAACCCTGGATCAGCAAAACTATCTTTTGTATTCAAACAAAATAATTGAATAATGCTATATAATAGTACTGAGATGCAGTGTGTTTTGTTTCTATACTAGTATTAAATTGAGTGTGGTTAAATATTCATGAATGTCTGTCTAAAGGTGGTTCTTTTGTTTTGTTTTGCCATAGGTCATTGTACAAAGTCAGTGCTTTGAGGAATTACTACTAGCCCTTCTGGATCCTAATAATGAAGAAGAATCTCTGCAGTATGTGGCATCATGCATTGCTGAACTGGCTAAACATGGTAGGATTTTACCATTATAGTTACCCATAGCTTTTTTCTAATGGTAGTTGGCAGCGCATGTAAAACATTGTCTTTGTGATCTTTCCCTTTTTGCACAGTATTTTATGTGCATATAGAAATATTCCCTGTATGTTTTCTGCCTATTTTTATATATAGTTTTAAGTGTCCTATAAAAGGAATTCAGTTGTACTTCCTGTAGTCTTCCACTGATCTGACATTACTTGTGGCGATAAACATTATGATTCCTAGAGAGATCAATTAATCCTTTGTTCAGTGCCAACTGATTGCAGTTCATCAACCATCTGAAACAATTTCTGAATACTGAAGCAATGGAGAAAGAGCGGAATTTTGATTTACCTGTAAATTCTACATCTTGGAGTATGGTGCAGGACACAAGACAACCCTCCCTTCCTTTTGTTGGTTTACTCTGCATTGCTTGCTACAAAATTCATTCATGGAGTGGGGTGAACTTATAAGGGAGGTGCCCTAGAGAGGCATGTCCTCAAAAGCTTGCCAGTGTCCAATTACCCAAAGGTACATTCTTATAACCCACAGTGTAATATGTTGCCTCTGACCTATACTTCAAGATATGGAAAAATATTTATTTTTTTTCACGGGATAGAGTTCAGCAAAGATTTTGGGAGGAATGAACATCCTTTCAGGAGTGACCCAGTTCTCATAGACTGCACTTTCTGTCTGTTCATGAACTGATAACGTTTGCAAAGGGGCTTGGCAAGTCGGAGGAGAGTCCAGGTTGCACAATGCCAAGGCTTTTGTGCAGACAGAAGCATAGAGTATTTCAACATCAGCAAGCATGTTGCATGACATTCTCTCTTCAATATAGTGAGTCTGGGGAAGAAAAATAGTCCGCAGCTTCTTCCAATATCCCCTTCATTCCCTTTTGCATCCTCCAGGACTGACATATTGGAACTGAGAAATGAGAGTAGGACAAGGGGCGTGGTGATTCCAGGTTCTGGACAAATATGGCTGTATTGAGGCCATAAATGTGATATAGATGTAGAAAATTCTGCTTTAGTCAAATAGGCCGTTGTGTCCCAAAAATAGAGCTGGAATTGTCTGCCGTGACTGGTGTTAGAGCTGGCTCTTGCTGCGGTGGAAGGGACATATCACTCTGCAGTTGAGTGCAGTGCAGGCTTTTGGCAGAGTGACTGTTCACCTATGATTTGTGCATGGACTTCCTTTCGCCTGGTCTGAGCCATAGCAGTGAGGACATTCCTGTATGGTGCGCTCAGGGAATAGGTTGCAAAGTGTAGGGAAGGAGGACATGGTAGTCCAAGTGAAGACCCTCCTGTGGCAAAAGGGTGGGGGGGAATTGCCTGAGTACCCTATAAAAGGGCTCAAGGTGGAGGTGGCAGTGAAGTCTGCGACCAGTGGTAAGATGTAACACCTGGTCATCCACCTTGAGACTAAGCTCTGAGTGGTTGAATTTAAGCATCTAGTTTGAAAAGTACACATTCCAAACATAGCCCTCTTTTCACAGTAACAGTCTGAGATACAGGGTGATCCTGTTTTACCTGTCCACGTTGCTGGATTGTGTATAAATTCCAGGCGTTACCTGTCACGGTGGGCATACTCCTGAAGAAGTACTCAGGGACTGGATTCCATTGCTATTGACTACAGCCCTAGACATGTATAGCACCCTGCGGCTGGCTCAACGTGTTGCACCGTGTGCCAAGGTGAGTGCCCATGCAGGAGCCAGTGCCGGAGCAACATTACAGCCCATCCCCACAGCATAGTGTTTTGTGTACGGCTTCCAGGGATTTTCCAAGGTTGAGCCAATCCAGATAAAATGCTTCTATGTTGGCATTGGAAGACAGTGAGAGGTTGTTGATTGAGGAACCCCCTGTGAAGGGGAAAAGGTCCATCACCTTCAGAAACTAGCAGAAAGCTGAGGACTCATATAGTGGGGTAGGGTTAGGGAGGTGCCCAGGGGTGTTTCCTTTACAGCTTTCCCAATGTCCAGTCACCTAAGGTACATGCCTATAACCCATGGTGTATGAATTTTCTGCTAGTGTCCTGTACTGTATGATTAAGGTATAGTGTTACTAAACTTATGCTACAGTTCTGGGTATTCTGTAGTTTGCACAAGGGGAAGAAATATGGAATTGTGCCAGTGTGGGTAAAATATTCACATTTTTTAAATTCTTGTTATAAAGCAGATTGTCGAAGTGGAAACCAGTACAAATCTATTGGAAATGGCATGCCTAAACCTGTACAGCTTCAGAATACTGTGCAAGTGATAGGTGTTGGCTATTCAAAATATATGAAATCTACTATTTATATACAAGAACGTGCAAGTAAAATGTAAATGTAAAATCACCATTGAGAAATCTGTATCAGGCTTAGAATAAAAGATTTCATCAGAAAATTAAACACCCGTGTTTTATATTTTCACTGCAGCCCTGTTTTTATTAGCACAGTACAAGTCCTCATAGCATTATTGTTTTTTTTTTTAAGGCTCTGTAATAAAATAGTATTTCCTGTTTTTCGCATAGTAAAAGGTAAATTTTGACTGTCATGAGGGCCTAACATTTTTGTGTAATAATGCTCTTTTCACTTTGCAGACTATGCAAGGGAGAATCTCATTAAAAGGAAGGATAAAGCTTTTCTCAAGTGTTTGGTGAAACTGTCTGGATGCCTAGAACAAAAAGAACTCTCCTTTCAAGCTGCTACAGTTATTAAACATCATCTGTCTCATTCTGGTAATGTACTTAAACAAATCCCATATTCTCTATAAATATAATGTAATTCAGGGCCAGCTGTTGCTTATACAGTAAAATGTTACTATTTTGTACCTCATCCCATCCCTAATATCTAGGTTTGTAAAGTTTCATTGTCACAGAAGCTGTCCTCTTGTACAACTTCTCTGACTTGCCATATATTATTACGCCAAAACATAGACCACAATCCGATATTATTCAACACCAAACTCCTAGTTTAAAATCTCAGATTTCTTATTGCAGCATGAATTAGAGTACATTTTGCAAGTGTACCCAAAATTTGGTTACTGCTCACTATCTTTGCAGGGTAAAGTAGGAGTCACTTCCAGAAGGTTATTACGCAGTGGAGGGCAGTGGCAGTATGCTCCCTTAAGGTCTTGGGCTGCTACCTTTCTGATGCAACAGCAGAGAGGGTTTGAGCAGGAGACACTTGGGTGAGTATGACGGAGCACCCAGTAACAAAAGATTGTCTCACTTGGGTTTATTTCATCAATTTATTGACAATAAAAAAGTAATCAGTGCTCGCTGCTAAATGTGGACTTGAAGATTTTGGGAAAGGTTCTGAGCACTCGAATTAATAAGTATCTACTCTCACTTATTCATCAAGATCAGGTTGGCTTCGTTCCGGGGTGACAAGCTGCTGATAGCATCCGTAAAGTCATCCATCTCATTCATATTTTACATCGCCGCAGGATACCACGGTTCCTTTTATCCCTGGACATTTATAAAGCATTCAATTCACTTTCTTGGGAATATATGACATATATGCTGCCTAGATGGGGGTTTGGTGACGCATTTCTGGCATGGATCTCGGGTTTATATTCGTCTCCCTTGGCCTCTGTTAAATATGCAGGTTTTTTTTCCCTCATCCTTCCCTATTTTCAGGGGCATGAGACAGGGATGCCCATTATCACCTGCTCTTTGTTCTCGCTCTTGACTTTTTAGCTGCAGCCATTCGAAATCACCCAGATATTTCTGGTTTACCCTATGCCGGCACTCAAATACAAGGCCAACTTTTATGCGGATGATGCTCTTTTGGTTTTAACCAATCCTCTCATCACTCTCCCCAACCTCCAGGTCATATTGGACCGTTTTTCGACTATATCTGGCCTTCGCATCAATTTGTCCAAAATCACAGCATTGAATATTACGCTCCCTGCCGACCTGGTTGAACGGTTGCAGACACAATTTCCCTACCGTTGGGCATCCCATTCTCTGGCTTATCTTGGCATTACACTTACTTTCTCCTACTCTGCCTTATTTTTGGCTAATTATTACCCCTTATTGCACTGTGTTACTTCCCTGCTCCATTCCTGGCAGTTTCCTTCTTTATCATAGATTGCCTGGATACATGCTGTCAAGATGACTATCTTGCCGAAGATCCTGTACTTTTTCCGCACCCTCCCTATTCAGGTCCTTACGTCTTTTCTTCGTGTACTGGAAAGCCAGATTCTCAGTTTTATTTGGGCTCATAAACGTCCCAGAGTGCGTAGGGCTACTCTGTATACTCATAGATTACAGGGAGGTCTGGGAGTCGCATATGTTTCTAAATACTACTTGGCGGCTCAGATTTCTCAGTTGTCTATACTTCATGCCACGACAGATATCCCATTATGGGTACTCTTGAAATTACCCAGCGGTGCTCAGCTTTCCTTAACTACATTGCTTTGGCTCCCGCCGAAGTTGCACCCTCCGGATTTGAGCCCTATCATGCTTCACAGTTTACGAACCTGGGATTCTGTCAAATATTCGGGTAATTTGATTTAATCATTTCTACCTCTTTTTGCTGATTACACATAATCCTTTATTTCCGCCAGGCCTAGAACATCCCCCTTCTTTCTCTTGGTGGGCCTCCCATGGCTTTGTTATTGTACATGATTTTCTGAGCACTCGTACGTTTCCATCATGGGACTCTCTTCGAGAATCAAGGAGGGCTCTGCCATGGGAATATTATCGGTATTTGCAATTGCACCACTGGGTCCTATCCCTCCGTCATACCTCTACATACGCTTACCGCAAAAAACGCCCTTTGAGCATGTTTGTCAGCATTCCCCAGGGTCCCCTGGTCTCATTTCTGTAATTTATGCCTCCCTTAACAGTAGGTCCTCCTCACCACCCCTCTTATGTCTCTCAATGGGAGCGAGATCTGGGTGTCTCAATTTGCGGCAGAGGATTGGCGTAGGGCCTGGGGGATGGTGGCGAAATGTTCATTCAATACAGTCACCCTTGAGGCAGCCTACAAAGTTCTCCTGTGGTGGTACTGGGTCCCGGCTCGGACTGTTCACTTTAATCCGACTGGCGGAGATAGGTGTTTCCGGAACTGTGGTCTATGCGGGAACATTTGGTAGTTGTGCCCGCGTTTGATAGGCTTCTGGTCTAGGGTTTTTGGTTTGTTACAAACGCTATTTCATATTGCGGTCCATAGGGATGCAAGGGTGGCCCTTCTGCATTGCCCAATTTTGGGTCCGTCTAGGTCTCAGCAGAAATTGGCATCCTACCTATTTATTTCGGACAAACGTGCTATAGCTGAAGCTTGGCGAGAACCCCTTTGGTTGTCTTCCAGGGGGTGAAGACCCGGATGAATGCTATGTTGATCAATGAACAGATGTCTAGCATTCTTCATGATTCTCATCCGAGATTCCTTAAGGTTTGGGAACCTTGGATACGTTTTTACTTGCCATCCCTTCCTCCAACCAGTTATTTTTTTGCTCTGCCCCTGCATGGGCGTATTTTGAGCTTGTTGTATTTTTAAAACAAAAACTTTCTTAATAAAAATATTGAAACAGAAAAAGTAATCAGTGGAGCCAAGTGTTTCGGGGGAATTGCCTCCCCTTTCTCAGAGAGCGGTTTATGATAAATTCTGAATGTGGTCAAGTTCAAATGGAGGCTTGTTTAACGCTGTCTGCATTTCTGTGGAGTTTCAGTGTTCTGTGAATGGGATGCAGCCAACACTCTAAAGAAGTGCTGACAGCATTAAACAAGCCTCTATTTGAGCCAGACCACTTTTCAAAATTTATCATAAACAGACCTGAGGAAGGCAATACCCTGAAACATGTTGGCTTTACTTGTTACTTTTTATCTTCAATACATTTGCTAAAAACCAGCAAGTGAGCAGATCTTCTGTTTCTGAGCTCTAATTTATACTTGCCAAAGTGTTACCCTCCAAGAGGGAAATAAAAAGTTTTACAAATGCTGCTTTTTTGCCACCTAGTCACCCACCCATTTGTCAGGCCTTGAAAGTTGTCAGTCTCAAGATTTAGCTGGTCTCAACATTGGCAACTCTCTGGATCAGTCTAACTTTAGAGTGCTGTACCTGGACTCTGCTGGACTGGATGTGCAGGGCAAGCCTAGAAGTGACCTTTGGGCAGTAGGTTCCGTATAAGACCCAGTTCTGGTAAAAAGTTAGTTAAGTTTTTTTCAGATCTAGAGTCAGTGGTATTGCTCCTGAGCTTGCCCCTTCTCTGAAGGTTTGCTCTGTGAGTAGGCTGATCAGTGCTTTCACACTAATGTGCTGCGCTTTACCCACCCCACTAGTGCAGTGTAGCTGTGGCTTTCCTGTATTTTTGCTGTGCTTAGCCATAGACTTCTACTATATCCTGCAGGTCTGGTGCACTTTCTGAATCATGTAAGGGTTTATTTACTTTTGCCATTTTGGGGGAGTAAAATTCCATAGTTAAGACACTGTTTTACCGCACCTTTAGGTGCAGTGGCCAGGGAGTTGTATGTCCTGTAACCTTGTGCAGTACAGCAAACAAGGAAGAGGTTAAAGCAGGCAGTGTTGTGTTGCTTTCTCACCACCTTTTTAACCCCTTGGACTCTGCAAAAGAATGCAGTTGCATGGTGCTTGGAGAGTGGCCCCATATATTTAAATGGGTTGTGATTGACCCACCAAAAGCAACAGGGGGCTTAATTACTCTTGCAGCACCTTTTGGCTGATATCTCAGCAGCTAGAGGGGGTAGGGACTGGAAAACCGCAACACAACTGCTGGGTTTTACCCCGCCCCCCCTCTTCAACGTTACGCGTGAACAAACCTTATGGGTGTTGCTGCCAAATGCAACTATGGGTTCATTCACAAGTGCGGCAGGCACTTCTGCTTCTCTGAAAAGTGATCCAAGTGTGTTTGGGGGGTAATATGTTGCCTCCTCACCACCTAATTTAAACCCATGATTGCTGTGCAATGAGGTTTAAATCAGGTGTGAGGAGGTGACACTGTGCCCAGTGATCTTTTACTTCTCCCATGTTGTTCAGGTAGAGCTCCACCTCTTTAAGATTGCCAACCCCTGCTCTGTGCTCATAGGTCACATTCTTATGTAAAGTATGATTAATAATTTTCTGCCAGAGGTCTAATATAGGAGGTAAGACCCGCATCCAAGTTCTGGTGGTCATTTTTTTCTCAGCGATATATCCAGCAGACCTGGGCAAATTGCAGCCCTTTAGTTGCCCCTGTCTGGCCTGTGATGCCTCTCAGCATTGGGAATTCTCTCCTGCTAGAACTGAGACTCACTGCTGTACCAATCGCCTCCTCAGGTTCTCTCCTTCCATCTCTCCACATGGACATCTGTCAGTTTCCTTGCTTGCTAGTTGCTTTATTTGGAATATCATTTGGGAGCCCATTGTGATTAGTCTTGAAGATCAGTGGCACATGTTTTGTTAGTTATAGACAAAAACAAAGGACTTAATTCCTATTGATGTATGTTCTTTCTTCTTACAGGGAGAATTGCTGCATATTTAAAACCTTTCATGAAGGATGTTCAAACCTACCTCATGAGTTTCCTCAGTCATCCAGAGCTGCAGTTCCAGCAGATGGGCATTGCCACTCTGTGCTTGTTAAGTGAAGGTACAGATTGATTTATTTATTTTATTAGCAAGATTTTTCAGATACCTGGCTACTGCTCACTTCCAAACACATGCTTTTGGTAGAGGTTCCTTCCATGAGACTGGAAACTTTTTTTTTTAATGAAAAGGTTGTTTTGTGGGTGATATTTTAAGTGAACTTGCTCATATCTCAAACTTCCACTAGGCAGCTCAAGCTGTGCATGACTCCTTTGTAGAAATAATTGTTACTACCACCCTATGGCCTCATGCACACAGCTATAAAAAAAATGTGCTAATTATTAAAGTGTTACTAAACCCACAACAGTAAAGCATGCTTGTTCTACTCATTGTGGAACCTACGGGGTTAATCATCCACACTGTGGAAAAAGGCCATTTACACCTGTCTTCTCTGCCCCTCCTCTTGTTTAAAGGTCCACATCTAATCTCCTGATAAGACAGACTAAACTGTAGCCATTCTGCACATGCTCAGTTTAGTGTGTATTGCTAGTGAGTTTTTTGTTTTCTTGGGAGAGTGCATATGCTCAGTGCTGTACAGACAGAGGGCAGGGGTTTTGTATCCTCTTACAGCAGAAAGAAAACTCCTCCTACCAGTTTTAACATGTGTTCTGTTGAAAACTGATATACTGCTGATCAGAAAAGGTATTTAGTAGTTTATATTTACTAAAATAATTGCATTTCTGTGTACTGCAGGAGACTAAATAGAGTGAATGCAGGGTCCTGGGTTTAGTAATACTTTAACCACATGCCGCCCAGCCACTGTATAAATACGGCAGCAGGGCGGCACAGCTGGGCAAAATCAAATTTTAAAACGTGTGTTTTGTAAACAGGTAGGAGGCGCGCCGCCACCCTACCTGTCCCGCTGATCACAGCCGCAGCTGTCCGTCGCCGGGTCACAGCCGGTCGTTACCGGCTATGTCCCAGCGATAATTCCTGACAGAAAGCACAGCTACTGCAGTAGCTGTGCTCTCTGTCAGTTCCCTGACAGCTCCAGGACAAGCTGAGTGCGACAGAAGAGTTTCTCTCTCCCGATCAGTGGTGTCCTGTGCAGTACACACCCCCCGCCCCCTAGTAAAACAGTGCCATTAGTACAGTGTCTTTTTTTTGCACTGATCACTGTATTGGTGTCACGGGGGATGTCAGTGACCCCAAGTCCGTACCCCCCAATGTCAGAATGTCCGCCGCAGTCCCACCATAAGTCGCTGATCGCCGCCATTATTAGTATAAAAAAAACTAAAAATCCCAGTATCTTTCCCGCCATTTGTAAATGCTATAACTTTCACGTTAACCAATTAATTTACAGGTATTGGGTTTTGTTTTTTGTTTTTAGCAAAGATATGTCGCAGAATGCATTTTGGCAGAAATTTGACTAAATTTGATTTTTAAATTTTTTTTACTGGACATGTTTTATAGCAAAAAGTCCAAAATATTGTTTTTTTTTTTTTTTTGTTGCCTCAAAATTGTCAGCCTTTTTTTTTTTATAGTGCAAAAAAACCGCACAGGCGATCAAATACCACCGAAAGAAAGCTCAATTTGTGGGGAAAAAAAGGATATAAATGTAATTTATGTACCGTATTGCTTGACCGCGCAATTGTGCGTTAAAATAGTGCAGCGCTGTATAGCAAAAAAAATGTTGTAAATTGCAGTATCTATACCATAGTTTGTAGACACTATAACTTTCACACAAAGCAATCAATATACACTTATTGGGATTTTTTTTACCAAAAACATGTAGCAGAATACATTTTGGCCTAAATTTATAAACAACTTTGAGATTACTACCGTATTTGCCGGCGTATAAGACGACTTTTCAACCCGTGAAAATCTTTTGAAAAGTCGGGGGTCGTCTTATACGCCGGTATACGGCGAGCCGGTGTCAGGGCGGCACTTTTTCGAGGGGCGGCACCGCCCCCCCTCCTCCTCCAATGGACACCAAGTACAGGGGTGGGCAGAGGGGCTGCTGTACCTTACCTGGCTCCGGTCCCGGTCCCACGACGATCCGGTCCAGGAAGCGCGGCTGCTCCTTCTTTCAGTTTGGCCTCTCGATGGTCCCGCCGCCCGCTCGGCTCCGCCTCCTCACCGGTGATTGGGCGCCAGCACTGGAAAGGCACACAGGCGACCAATCACCGGCGAGGAGGCGGAGCCGAACGGCCCCGCGAAAATCAAGCGGCCGAACTGAAAGAAGGAGCAGCCGCTCCTCTCCCCCACTGACACCAACGATGAGGCACTGTTCCTCCCCCACTGACACCAACGATGGGGCACTATTCCTCCCCCACTGACACCAACCATGGGGCACTATGCTTCCTCCCCCACTGACACCAACGATGGGGCAATTTTCTCCCCACTGATACCAATGATGGGGCACTATTCCTCCCCCACTGACACCAACCATGGGGCACTATTCCTTCCCACTGATACCAACGATGGGGCGCTATTCCTCCCCACTGACACCAATGATGGGGCACAATTCCTGCCACTGATACCAATGATGGGGCTATTCCTCCACTGACACCAATGATGGGGCATGATTCCTCCCACTGATACCAATGATGGGGCACTATTCATCCCACTGACACAATGATGGGGCACTATTCCTCCACACTGACCAATGATGGGGCACTATTCCTCACACACTGACATTAATGATGGGGGGGCACCATCATTGGTGTCAGTGGGAGAATAGTGTGTCCCCATCATTGGTATCAGTGGATGAAATAGTGCCCCATCATTGGTGTCAGTGGGATGAATAGCACCCCATCATTGGAATACCATACCATATTGAAATCAAATCTGATGTTTTTTCATTTTTATTTGGTGTGTGTTGGAAGAGGGGTAGTCTTATACGGAGAGTATAGCTCAAACACTATATTTTAACAGGAAAAGTAGGGGGTCGTCTTATACGCCCAGTCGTCTTATACGCCGACAAATACGGTATATATTTTTTATAGCTGAAAGTAAAACATATTGTTTTTCTTCAAAATTTTTGGCCTTTTTTTGTTTATAGCGTGAAAAAAAAAAAGCGCACAAATGATCAAATACCACCGAAAGAAAGCTCTATTTTTGTGAAAAAAAGGACGTAAATTTCGTTTGGGTGCAGCATTGCATGACCGCGCAATTATCAGTTGAATTAGTGCAGCGCCAAGTAGCAAAAACAGGCCTGGTCATTAAGGGAGGTAAATCCTCTGGAGGTCAAGTGGTTAACCACTTCCATACCAGGCACTTTTACCCCCTTCCTGCCCAGGCCAATTTTCAGGTTTCAGCGCTCTCACACTTTGAATGACAATTGTGCGGTCATACAACATTGTACCCAAACTAAAATGTTATCATTTTCTTCACACAACTAGAGCTTTCTGTTGGTGGTATTTAATCACCGCTGGGATTTTTATTTTTTGCTAAATTAACAAAAAAAGACCAAAAATGTTGATAAAAAGTCAGAACGGTACAGATATTCCCCAAATGACCCCTTTTTGCAAAGTAGACAGTCCGACGTATTTCATAAGAGGCATGGCGAGTTTTTTTTTTTTTTTTTGAAGTTGTAATTTTTTTGTCTTTTTTTTTTTTTACATACTGTCACCAGTGCAGCACAGCATCATCATATAACTGGCATGGCGGTGATCAGGGACACTGACCGTATGGAAAAAAAAAATTGATAATTTTTAAATTTTTTTTCTCTTTAAGATTTTTTTTTTTCTTCATATTTCACTATGACCAAAGTAGTATGTTACCATAGTAACATTGTACTACTTTGGGGAAGAGATCAGTATTTTTTTTTTTTTTTTACACAATTTGCTTATAGTAAAGAATTACTTTGCTATAAGCAAGCATTTACCTGATTGACATCGATTCATTCAGGGTTTTTTTTTTTTTTGTGCTTAGCTGTGATTGCTGTAACCATTAACAGCTAGATACATTCTTCCTTTCATGCCACCCATTGTATACAACTGTCATGTGACCTGCTATGATTGGTCACAGCAGGTCACATGGTAGTGGCAACAATCTGTCAGTGGCCGTGTCCGAGGTACACGGCCGGTGACAGATCGCGCGGCTCTGATGGAAGGCAAACTGCGCATGCCTGAAAGGATGCCATATGGCGTCCACCTGGAGGGACGAGGTGCTCACCTGGCCGCCATCTGGCCATAGGCCTGGCGGGAACCTGTTAAGGCAAGCAACAAAAGTTCCTGCATAATGATTGCTAAATTGATCTTCTTTTATGCATAAAAATCAAAAGTGTTGTGTTCCACTAACAGTAGTAATACAAATGATCAAATATGTGAATAGAATATATAAATAATTCAACATCAAATTAGAAGTGACAATGCAATCATGCTGCTGCTGCATACATGTCCTTTATTAATCCGTGATTCTGACATTTCTTCTAATGGCGTAATATGAAATATATATTGTGCAGTCCACCAAAGAATGTGTACACCTTCACTGGTTGTGCTCTCACCTGGCATATGTCCAAACTGTTAAGTGAGGTCATAAAAGGCTTGTGTCCCTTGAATTGGACTTAGATGTTAGCGGATGAGATTATCCCTATTCGCTAGATGGACCAACACAGTTCTCCCTTTTCTCACTTAACGGTTTGGTCATATATGCCAGGTGAGAGTACAACTCTTGAAGGTGTACACATTCTTTGGTGGACTGCACAAGAAGACATGTCAGCAATGGAAAGGGAATAGTACCTTTTAACTGCTTAAGGACTGCCCTATAGCAGATATACTGCTACAGGGCGGTGTGTGTGTACGTACATCATTTTGCATTTCCGGGTAGGGGGGTGTGCACGGCCTACCCACGTTGCCATTCATGGCCACGGATCAAAATCACAGAGTCCCGGCTGGTAATTACCCGCCAGCGCTCTGTGATTACCGACAATCACCGATGAGGAGGAAGTTTGTTTGTTTGTTTACAAACAATCTTCCTCCCTGTCCACTCGAGCACCCTGCTTGGGATGGCTGTGTATAGTACAGCCATTCCAAGCAGTGTGCTTACAGTGAAGAACACACCCCGCCCCCTAGTAAAACACACTCCCAGCACACAGTTAACCCACCCTTTGATCGTCCCTCACATTAACCCCTTCCTGCCCAGTGATGCACTGATCACCATGTTGACACCAAGTTAGTTCCCCCTGTGTCAAAAGAACATAAATTTCACTTAGGTGCAGCACCACGCAATTGTCAGTTAAAGTAACACACCGCTGTAATGCAAAAAAATGGCCTGGTCCTGAAGGGGGGAAAATCCTCAGGAGGGCAAGTGGGTTAACATCCAGGCCAGCCAGTACTTTGGTATATGCTGATTGCAGTGTAAAGTGTGTGTTTCGATGACTTACGGCTTCTTGAGGTATTTGCCTTTTAGCTTTGAGTTTCAGGGAATTATCACACATCAGAAAGGCAGACAGGGATCCCTTTTGATGTTGCCAAAGTAAGATTGATTGAACAGAGACAATTAGAGCCCTGTCAAGTATTAGAACCTCAAGCCAGTACAGCTGAATAGACCAGAAAAAAAGTAGAATAGGCTATCATAAACAACACCATGTTTGTCTGTCCTTCTTATTCTCTTCTCACAAGAGTCGACAAAGTAAACTAACCACGGTTATTTTCATTTCAGATACAGAGTTTTCAATGGCAATCAGTCAAAGTCCACTGAAGGAACAGCTTGAGCAAGTGCGGCAGCAGACAGAGGAGACTCAGGCATTGCTCCGACTGGCCATCAGTCACACAGACAGTTTAAGCTTAAATGAGTGATTGGTCTACACACCCTATAAAATGTTTACATTGTCTTCTTGGCTTGTGGGGCATACACATTTACCCCCACTGACTGTTTTACGTAGTGTTTTACTTTCCAGGCAAGGAAGATATTTTGTGATGTGGTCTTTAATTCTTGTCAGTGCATTCCCCTAATAAAAGGCATTGGCAATGGCATCATACCTACAGCAGTCTACCCTGTTCCTTTTATGGACAGAGCATCTTCCAAGTACATCACATTTCTTGCTTCTTATTTATTATATATGTATGTGTTTACCTTTATAGTGATAGATTTTATATGTTATTTTATGTTTTATACCAGTTTTATTACTTTCAATTTGTTGCTAATGTATTGTAAAAATATGTATTGGTTTGGTCCTGTTGTGCACTGGTGGACATATAAAAATAAGTGATTAAATATTACTTCAAAGGGAATGCTGTATTTTATTTCTACAATGTAATCTGTGAAAGGGAACATTGGGATTTGAAATGGTGTTCCAGAAGAACACATACACCCCTTCAAGGGGCCCTGTCACCACTACTGCAAACTAAACACAGGCAGATAATCTATATTATAAGTACTTACAGAAACCCGGGGGGGGGGGGGGAAACAAGGCCTTGACCTTCCTGGACAACATTGGAAGAGGAGGAATGGTCTTGGGCCACACATAAAATACCCTAACAATAAGGATAGCTGATAAGTAGAAAAAGTCAGCAGATCACTGATAAAGTACCTATCTACAAAAAAAAAAAAAGTTTTATTACGCAAAGTAAAGCGGGCAACATAAAACTAGTGTTTTTGATAAACTGATAAACAACAAAAAGGATAGCTGATGAGCAGTTCCTCCTACATTCCTCAGAAAGTAGGTGCAGCCCCATTCACAACTCTCTGCACACCCAACGAATACCTGCGGTGAAAGCTGCTGGATGCAAATTGTGCCCAGTAGGGATCACCACAGGTAAGAGCCATGAATAGGTGCAGCCACCGGCGACCTGCCATTATAGTGAACAGGGCCAGCAACCGCCCCTACAATTCGCACCTGCCCTAAGCGCTGGTGTAAATATAGCTAGCCAGACACCCCCCATAATCTGGCCATACAGCATTGACTGGTCAGGCGCCCCCTGCATTTCCTGGTGCTATTGCAAACATGGCAGCCTAGCATCACCTACAGATGTGCATTTACCTGGTGTGTCAATGCAGGCTGCCATGGCTGCTATGCTTGCATGGCATGCCCTTGTGGCCCTCTAGACATTCCCAGGCCACATGCCAAACTCTCTGGGGCCATGGGTTGGACAATGGTGGCCTAAAACAATCCGTGTGGCTGAATAAGCTCAAGACATATGCCATAATCTTAATGAGAATTAATTAAAATAGATTTTTTTTTTTTTTAGCAGTTTTTCACAAAATTATCTTAATACTGAGACTAAAACTTTACAAAAAGTTCCTAAAAAGATGGCATATTTGTGTAAATACCTGATATACAAGCAATTTTGTAATTTGATGGTTCTAAAAACTGTTTTTGTTTTGTTTAGCATTTAGTAGCTTGTAAAAATGTACCCCTCCAACTCTCATGATCGTCAATAAGAAAGTTAATGGGAATTCAAAATGTTTTAGTTGCAAACATGAATAGGGCGAGTTACCTGTTGTGGTTTTCAGCTACATCTGCAGGGATATCTCCCCTGGAAATTTCGTTGCTTTCTGTTTTATCCCTGGGACAGGCAGTACAGTGAAATGTTGCCAATGGGAGAAAAAAACAAATCTGATGTGTTTTTAATCATTCTCTGCTTGATCTAAAACTAACAATGAACTCAAACCTTCTTGCTACTATGGCCACTGCCTGCAGTTGATAGTCAACATTTCTTATCCTTTTGCCCTATATTGGTTAATGAGCAGTAAGGCTAGTTTTACATTAGTATGGGCTGCAGGTAGGTGTGTAATTGCATGCATTCCTGCACAAAAAACGCAATGCTGTTTAGGAGATGCGTGGGGGTAAACTTAATCCTAATGGCACCCTTATGCACTGGAAATCGCACTGCACTATGTGGATTCCCTGCGTGCCATGCTTTCTAAAAAAAGCGCAGAGACCTTTTTCCTGCATTTTCAAATGAAAGGGCTGCAGTGCACAAACAAATGCAACTGCGGCGAAACCGTATAGATGTAAACCAAGCCTTACATGTTGTAAACATGCCCACCCTACCCCCAGAAATTTCTTTACATTACCTTCAGGACCTTCTTATATACACCTGTACAGAAGGGGAATGCATTTAATACAAATGACTACACAAAACTTCAAATTCATTAAAATTACTTCAAACAAATTTATTCATTAATGACATGCTATATATAGAGTAGAGAAATAAAAACTACATGATTTAAGCATTATCATCATCTTAAATAGAACTTCTATGTACATGGACATAAGGACAACCAAAAAACAAACTCAATTTGATATACTACACTGGATTCTGTGTGAAAAGTGAACTGAATTGCATTTAATGTAAATTGTTTCTCTTGTGACATTTGCTGCACTGTAACAGGAAAAATGATTTCTTTGCACAGTGTATGTACCCTGTAGACATAAATAGCTGCAAACTGTAGACTAGCCAGTAATGCCCATCAACACATTTCTAAGATGCCTTCGCTAGTTACAGCATGAACCTCTCCAGGAATTGGCATTTGACCATGCGTACTGTGTTGTACTCCTAGACAGGCTATCTCTAACCAGTGAGGGCTCCTTGACAATCCACAAAATATGGACTTTTGAGCCAGTGTTTTTTAGTCATCACCCGGCTGGCTACAACATAAATAAGTGAATAAGAGCAGTGTGGTTTAAGAAGTGCACATTTATGAAATAGCATCTGAAAGACAAATACAGGAAGCACAAACTGAGTGCTTGTGTGGTATAGTGTAAAAATAAAGACCCCTACCCCAAAAAAGTAAAGTGAATGTTAATTTAGAAGAATCGTTCATTTTATTTTGCTCTGAAACGAGCATAGAGTTATTTTCATACTTATAACTTTACTCTTTCATTTGACTCCAACCCTTTTTGTACATAAACATCTCTTCCCCTTCTCTCTCTCTCTATATAGATCTATCTATATATATAGGTCTGTGTGTTTAGGAATTTAGTAAGGCAAATAAACATCCACGGATAAGAAAAGCTGACAAAAATACATTTATAATATAGATTTTGTTTTTCCTTAAAGATTTGTTATTGTACAGCAAAATATGCATCCTTGTTATGGGAAAACTTGATTTTTAAGTGATTAAAATGAAAACTTAAAATCTTTGTACCTCTTTATCCGATCAAGGAATGTCATTTTGTTTCAAATAAAATGAAAAGGAAATAAACCGATGAGATGATTAAAACAGCCAAGTAGTAATTACAATTCAGAGAACCTGATACAGTAGCCTATACATTAAAGCCCCTATAAATGGAGTTCTCAGCAATAATATTTAAACCAAATGGTTTAAATGAGACCACTCTATAGCCCTACATGTAGAGCTATGAGGGTGTATTCAAGTATTAAACATATACAGTGTAAAATATTACTAGCAGGTTAAACAATTACATTTAAAACAGACCAGTCTTGAGAAGGTCCCACAAACTTCCTTGATGCTTTCAGTTATAAATCATCTCCTTCAACATTGTAAAAACTTCAAAAATAGGTGCCAGAAGCAGAAATTTTAGGGAAAATCCCTTTTTATGCACTGCACACTAAAAATCAAGGGTCTGTTTCCACAGAGCAGCAGTCCCATAAGCTGGTATGAATCTAGTTTTTCCCATCTTCAGATATTCAGTCAATAACTTATTAAGTAAACAATCCTTCCTTCATAGCATGGAAAGAATCCCTGGGGCTTTAAAGGTGATTTCTATGTTCTGTTTGGTTGTTCAGATGACCTCTGTGAATTCAAAAGCATATTAATAATTATATGTAAGTTACAGATACTTAAAAATCAGTAGGAAATGGGTGCTGTCCATCAATTCTATGAAAATCCTGATCCAGCACTGAAAACTGATGGGGAACTGCCAAAATGAGCACAGTTTAATTCTCTTTAATAAAACAAATATTTATGCTGCTTTCATACATTTGCACTTATGTGCACTAAAAACTGGGCATGATAACGTCCTGCATACAAATACCATACAAATGCAGCAATGGTATAGCACACTGCAAACGCACAGGTGTGAATTCTGTGTGTGCTGTGCTGACAAAAATAGGGTAGGTTTCTTACTGCAAGCATTGAGGGACTAAAGGGCCATTTAAAGAACAAGCTACCTTAACTCAACATGCGTCAACACATGGAAGTGTTTGCTTTAAAGGTTCAGCTATTGACAAAAAATAATAATTGCACATTTTTGAAAAGGTAAAACAATGTGCATTTATTATTTTTGGTTGCAGGAGCCTAGAAAACATTGCACCAGTGATCAGCAGATTGCTGGTGCCATGCAGGTCTCCTGCAGACTTGTCAATATATCTGCTTGCTCATACATCCTGTACAGGCAAGCAGATATACTGACAGGAAGAATCAATGACAGCAGTAGAGGAAAGCTGTCACTTGTATACGTAACTTCTCACTGTACTGCTTTCACAGGTAGTGGGGGGGATGATTGGGTAGCGACTGCTGCGTTACAAATCGGGTGGAACATGTAACATTTTCCCAAAGATGAACTTATCCTTTAAGATACACAAAATTAACACTAAAAATGATCCTGTCACTATTGTACAGTCTCCAAGAAAAGCTCTCGCTGTAAAATAGGTGTACTTAATTACTTTTTCTGTTACAGTGGTGACAGCACGCCGCTGAAAGGCTTCGTTTTAAGGCAAGTCCTTCATAATGTGCTAGTATACGATGCATAATAGCACAATATGACATTACCTTGCAGGTTTACTGCTGCTTTAAGCTGAAAATTCCTCAGAATTCACAAGCATTTGGAATGTAGCAGCATAACATTGATATTACTGTTACAAACAAAACTGATGACTTGTTTATAGACTTGTTTTGATAGATAAAACAGTGGGCAACAAGGTTCACAAAGCATTTCGTACAAAACCCCTTTCTTAGAATACATTACTGGACACATGATAGGTAATTCTTAGAACATTCAGTTATGCTCCACCACCAGGTGATTGGACACTAACAAACAGCAAAGCCTGACACCACCCAGCATAACCCCTCAGCAAGCTATATTAAAGTTAAACCAGAGGGGAAGGGATGGGCTGATGTCACATGATGTACTCCACACCAGTTTTGTTAACCGTACATCACAGGACCCAGGAGAGTTAATTCACAGACCATTGGGATGTTAAAAAAAAGCAATCCCATGAGGGGTGGGCAACAGCAAAAAAAATGGCTAGCAGGCCCAACAGGAACAGTCCTTTAAACAGAGGAGGAATAACCAAGAAAACCCTTACAGAACCGCCTGTAATAAAACCCAACCAAAGTCAGTGTCTGTTGTTGAAGCCTGAACATGAGTCTGGTAAAACACAGAAAATGTAAGAGCAGAAGACCAGGGAATAGCCTTCAGGCAACTCCAACAAGGTGCAATCAAGGCTGCAAGGTAGACTAGCACAGCCCTAATCACATCCAAGTAGTGAAAGATATCTCATTAGGATATTTTGGAGCAGGACAAAAAGAAAGGCAACATAATGTCCTGATTCAAATGAAAAGTTGAGACCACCTTCAGCAGGTAGGAATTACTTGGTTTTAAAAAAACCCGGTGTTTGTAAAGAACAAAAACATGTTCCTCACAAGACAAAATGGCAGCTCAGACACCCGGCTAATCAATGTGACAGACATGAGAAAGGCTACCTTGCGTGACAGGAGAAGGAGAGAAATATCCCAAATGGGTTCAAACAACAACAGGTCTCACAGAATTAGGCAAGCTATAGATTTTACAATTTCCCTGTTGAACCGGCTGACATTCGATCCATCTATGGCCAGCTTTAGTGGGGAGCGTAGTGGTAGAACAATGTGAGAAACTCCTCACAAAAAGCTCTAACCAGAGTGTGGGAAAGCCAGCACCACTAACCTGACCTTTTATAGTCGTCAGGACTAATGACTTGTCCAGTCTTGACTGGAGGAAGGATAAAATCTGCAGAGTAAGTCCTGGAAAGATTTCCCTTTTTGCATAAAAAAAAAATATGCTTTCCATGTGCGCTGGCAAGTCCTACAAGAAGAAGCCCTTTTAACCTGCAAAAATGGGAATCACAGAGTATGCAAGACCCCTGTCCCTCAGGACTTGAGCTTCATCAGCCAAGCCACCAAAGCCAGTGACTGCAAAACAGGATGCATCAGGAGGCCTTGAGAGAGAAGGTCTGGACAGCAGGGCCCATGGGTTGTCTGCTAGGAGTATGACTATGTCTGAGAACCAAATTCAGGGTAATGAAAATCATTGGAATGCTTCTCCCTTTCTAGGCCAAAGAGCAGAGCCACAACCTGAAAAAGCTGTTCCCTCCACCGCAAAGTGCAGGTAGCGCTGATGAAATGGAAATATAGGGATATGGAGGTAGGTATCCCTGATGTTAACTGAGGCCAGGAAATCTCACGGTAGTTCAACCACTGACCTTACAGATTTTATATGGAACTTTTGAACATGTAAGAACTTGTTAAAGCACTTTAGTTCCAGAACGGGCCGTACATGGTCATTCGGTGCACTGTGGCTTGGGCATCATGAACAGGTTTGAATAGTGACTACAAAATCTTTCTGGTTCCAGAACATGAGCAATGACCCTTGAGAACTCAACTGGCCCAGTGCAGCCAACAGGGCTGCTATTTTGTTTTGTGCAGAAGACAGCACAGAGGAGAAATGCCTTGAAACTCCACCTTGCCTTTGTGCACAACCTGAGCCTCTGTACAAAACTTTTTGAATCCAGACATCATCAATATATCCGGTCCATATGGCTGCGAAGGCAGCCAAGCACAACCCCTTCTCCCCACTTTTAACAGTTGGGAAGGTTTTTTTTTTTCTGAATTGGCTTGTTTGGGGCTACAGGACTTTTTCCAAAAGGAAGTTTTCTGTTACAACCCAGGATTCTGAAAAGAACAAAAAGGAACTCTAATTGGTTCCAGATGTAGATGAAATCTGCTCTATAGGCTTCTGCCACTTCTTCAGAGGTAAGAAGACAGCTGGCTGTGTTAGTGCACAGAGCACCCAGTAGAATGAGTCTGTACGTCAAAACAGGGTAGCGCGCATGCACCAACCCCTCAGCACCTGCTCCTCTCCTAGGTATAGGGGGCTAAAAGGAACAATTCCTGCACCCTCAGTCTCTCCAGTTGCCTGTATGTCTGGGAGACAGCACCACCCAACTAAAACAAGGGCACATATGCATACACCAAGCAGACCCTGTGTAGGGGGTTTTTCACTGTCAGGGCAGTAAGGATGTGGAACTCACTTCCAAAATCGGTGGTGACAGCAGGAAGTATTGATAGATTTAAAAATAAAAAAAAAAAAAAACTCTTGGATGGGCATCTTAGCAAACACAGTATACAGGTATCTGATTTTTGAGCACACCCACACAGGTTGGACTGGTGTCTTTTCTCAACCTTACCTACTATGTAGCCATGGCTTCAGACCTGTAAAGCAATCCACCAGCTAACTCACAGAAGCAAATGCCTGTAAAGTGAAGGTCACACACAGGATCCAATGCAGCTTACTGACCATCTCTATTTTTTCACTGGGGCCCAGGTACTGTTCCTTTTGGATATAAGCATCCATAGGGACTGATCAAGAAAACTACCACTGCTATAATGCACCAAGGCTCAGCAGTGAATGACAGTTCAAGCAGAAATCAATGCAAGGCTCTCAGCAGACAAGGGCATCACCTACGGACACGAACAAAAAATGGAGGCAATGCTGGGAGTGGGAGGTTTTGCTGAGCATTGTCAAGCTTTGCTACTTGCAAGTGTCCAATCATCTAGAGGTGGCACATAACCCAATAATCTAAGAATGAACTCTCCTGTGTCTTGTGATGTACGATTAAGAAATTCAACATTAAACCTCAACTAGTGCCTGTTATTAATCCAACCTTACTTTATATTTGACGGAACAGGAAGTGAGAAAAAATCTCCCTACTTCTAGTGCCTTTGACACAACAGATATGAAAACAGGGGAAGGACACATTTTCTAGCTAATTGAGGATAAAACCTAACTCTCTGCTGGGAATTAATTGCTGCCTGTTTCCCCTGTTGGCTGTCAGTCAGAAAAGGAAGGGAAGGGAAATCGCTTTGAGAAAAACATAGAAAGCATTTAAAATCAGACAAAAAAACCCTCCTTAACAAAGACATACACAATCACAAAAATCTGAGAGACATTGTAAGCCTTTTCCACCCTATTCTGACATTTATTAAACTTCTGTAGATCAACATACCTGCTGTTTGTGGCGTTTGCACATTATCAACTTCAAAAGCTATAATTGGATTCAGAGGAAGGCCCTCAATACTGTTCCCTTCATTATTTAGAGCATCAAGTTTGATTGGTTTAGTTCCAACAGGCAAATTGATGATCTCTTCAAAGTTGTTGTTTGGTGTACATAACCCATTTTCATTTGGTTGCTTCTCTGTGCTAAATGGTATAAAAAATTGAAAATATGACAGGACAATCGAGGCTTTAATTGACACAACATATCAAGATCAGACCATTCAGGTCTAGTGGTTACACTTCTAGCTCAGATACATCACTGTCCTGCAAATTGGCTGACAGCCCCCAAAACAAGGCGTATAATTCCTTCAGGGAATGAAAACTGAACCAAAATGTTTATCCTAATCAAAACTGAAGCTTGGAGTGACTAAAAATGACAGTAACCTACATATTTTATATAAGTGTCTAAAAAATGATGCTGAGTCAGCAGAAAGAGCAATTCATATAATATTGCTGCTTCACTGATCATATCAAAACTTGGTTATGGGCACTGGTGTGGGGCAGCATGCTGTATGCAGGGCAGGTACCAGCCTTACAAGTCTCACCTGTCAACAGGTAAAGTCTGTTGAAATGTAATAATCCTTGGGGAGGAGGTCAATGATTCTCCATTGCGGGGAGTTTCTTCTGTACTCTGGAGGAACACAGGTTCTTGTTCCTCTGGTGAAGATGATGATGTAATGGCTGCAAAAAAAAAAAAAAGCAACAGTTACCAAGCTGCCTATCTCTGCTGTATGGTAGTTAAGACCCATATTGAATTTAAACACGGAAACACATTTTATCTTTATTTTGTAATGTTCCAGCTATCCTTACCTTTAAAGTTCATATATTATGTTTCATTTAGAAAGAGGTTAAAGAATGTCAAGAAAACACCATTTAACTGCCACAGCCTGATCCTCCTCTGCATCCTGCAACTTTAAACTGATTGTTGCCACTGAATGCACCCAAACTCCACAGGCCAGAAACTGGTAAGAGGCCGATTCTCTAAAAAGCTGGACTTATATGCAAACAGTTCGGACAACTTAAGACACCGAGGGGCATAGGTTAGGTTGTGCCAGAGCACACTAAGCATGTTGCTGTATGTATGGTGATGTAAGGTAAAGACTATGTCTCTTTAAATAAAAAGTATTAATGTGCAGTAAATTTAAAGCAGAGCTACACTGCATCTGAGCAGGATAAACCAAAAACACTATTTAATTCATTTATAATATTCAAAGCAAACTGTCCCATCCATTCATGTCTCATTTATTTTGCAGAGAAATCACTTTGAAAAACACCTTCTAGCATTTTTGGCTGTGGCCATCTTAAGTAAGGGCAGATGAATTTACTTCCTGGAATCTGGAAGCCATCAACCCCTAGCTCAGACAACAGGGTGTGCTTAGCAGAGAAAGCCCCTCCTTCCCTCCTAAAGACTCCTGGGATGTATAACAGCATTTTCCTAGGCATGGAAACCAGGAAGTAACTGAAGAACTGTAGAAAAATTTAAAAAGTTTAAAACAAGTAAATACAATATACTTTTCCATCTGTTTACAAATATTAGCAGCATAAGAATTAAAAATAGTCAATGTTGAGTGAGAAAGTGAAGTTCTGCTTTAACAACAACATGAAAACCTTAAGGCTCCTTTCACAGGAGTGGATCAATGGGTCCGCCTGTCCATTTTTCAGGCAGACCCAATCGGTCCATCCATAGACTTCTACGGACTGGCAGGTGTCAGCGGACAATAGTCTGCTGACACCCGCTGGCATCTGATCCGATCCTGTATGCCAAAAACAGATGGATCCGTTCCCCATCTGACCAGCAGATCGGATGACATTTGGGTTGAAACGGACAGGTGGTCCGTTTCCATCCGACCGTCCCACTGAAATCAGCGGCCAGTGTCTGTAGCAGACAAAGACCTGTCATCCGCCAGTAGAGAGATCCCCCACTGAGCAGACGGATCCGCCCCATCTGAAAGGGGCCTAACAGTTTAATTTTCAATAACCTATGACTGATATTGATTAAGCAATATTGGAGAGCCTAAATAGCTTGCTCATCTACAACTGTACAACTAATACACATTTAAAATACTATATAACATATTAACTAGTAACACATGCATTGCTGTTTGTTTGCCTTCATATAAATTTGTCCCTTTCTAACTCTGTAGCTAAGAGATGCTCTGTATATCTAGTTCCACCCCTCTTTTCAGTGTGTCTTTGGTTTTTGTTCTGAGCATATGTAATTGCTGGAGCTAGACATATACCTTTTTGACCTATCTGACATTTATCTGTGAAGATGTGTGTTCAATTTAAGCTTTCTATGATCTGCAAGATGTCATTTGGATGGAGTCACTGTCTGCCAACGCTGCTGAGATTGTAGTTTATAGCTATTTGTGATTTGTCAACATGGCAAGTCATGGTTACTGGGATGTTAAAATGACTACCTGTATTCTCTATTGTTTTTGGTATTTCCCCATTTCTTTGAACAGTGGATTGCTGAAAAGGAAAAAACAGTCTTAATATTCAGTACATACTAACTTTATTAGCTCAACAAGATTTTCAGATCAAGAACAAAATTTCTTGCTAAAAGCAATATTTCCGACAGTATGGTAGCACTGAAGTGGAGCATGGGAATTTTTCAAAATACCACAGTCTGACTGCTGTAATGAATCTCTGTAAGAATTGTTTAATCTGGGGATTGATTCATTTTAACCCTTGGCAAAGGCAGAAAGAAAGACAGAAAAAGAATAAAAGGAGAGGGCCTAGTGTGGGACTGAAAAAAAAACCTCAACTTTTTTTTATTAAATTTGACAAGTACAACAGTACTTAAGTTACATGAAGATACAATAAGTACAAAATAATAGTTCCAACCCTCCTCCCCTAACTGCAATGCAATGCCTCCAAGAGAACACAAAGTCCAAATGCCCCAAAATAACCTCAAATTTAACTTTAAACATTTTCACAAACTAGTTATTTAAACTACATTTATTTTTAAAACCGTTTCACCCAGTTTTTTTTTATCACTTTCTGTTGATTCATTGGGCTATCTTCACTGGGCAGGGGTAGCAACCCGTTGGTGTTTTGAGAGATGTAAACTTTAACCTGCTCCTTACTGCACTATATCTGAAAGACGCTACAGAGCGGTCGGCTAGTTCTGGAAGGGTGTCCATGGAGCTCCTCCCAGAACTGCGCCTCTTGCACGCGATCTGTTATCGCAGTGTCCTTCGGATAGAGCTGGTCACATGGTTACGGAATAGGCCAATCACAGCTGCTTTTACCATGTGACCAGCTGTGTCCAATCACAGCTGATCACCGGGTAAATAGGAAATGCCGATTATTGGTGGCCCTCTCCTCCCGCTGACAGCATGTGAGGAGAGGAGAGCCGGTAAGCGGCAATTCACTAGGGGACATATACACTGATCATCAGTGTCCTGGTGATCAGTGTACCCCCATCAGTGTGGCCAATAGTGCCCATCTGTGCTGGCAATCAGTGCCCATCTGTGCCGCTTAACAGTGCCCATCAGTGCCGCCTAACAGTGCCCATCAGTGCCGCCTAACAGTGCCCATCAGTGCCGCCCATCAGTGCACATCAGTGAAGGAAAAAAATTACTTATTTACAAAACTTTATAACAAAAACTAAGAAAAATTATACAAATTTAGTTTGGGTACAATGTTGCATGACCGCGCAATTGTCATTGAAAGTGTGAGAGTGCTGAAAGCTGAAAATTGGTCTGGGCAGGAAGGGGGTAAAAGTGCCCAGTAGGCAAGTGGTTAAAATCTTTTCTCAACTGGCTGGGGATAATGTCATGATAGATATTCAGAGAACAGAGAGGTTGCCTATGCACTTACCAATCCATTTCTGTGAGATGGTTTACAGGGCGCTTCCACTTCTCATGGCCCCAACAAATGAATAAATATATATACATATATATATATATATATATATATATATATACACAGTTGCAAGAAAAAGTATGTGAACCCCTTGGGATTACGTGGAGTTTTGCATGAATTGGGCATAAAATGTGCTCTGAACGTCACCTAAGTCATAACAATAGAAGAACACAGTCTGCTGAACATAATACTACACAAACATTAGATGTTGCCATGGTTTAATTGCACATAACATGTAAACATTCACAATGCAGGGAGGAAAAAGTATGTGAGGCCCTAGCCTAATGACTTCTCCCAGAGCTAATTGGAGCCAGGAGTGAGCCAACCTTGACTCCAATCACTGTGATGATGATATTGGATGTGTTGCTGACAGCTGTCCTGCCATTAAAAAACACACACCTGTTTTGGGTTTACTGGTTTCAAGAAGCACTGTCTGATGTGAACCATGCCTCGCAGAAAAGAGCTCTCAGAAGACCTACGATCAAGAATTGTTGACTTGCATGAAGCTGGAAAGGGTTACAAAAGTATCTCCAAAAGCCTTGATGTTCATGTGTCCACGGTAAGAGAGACTGTCTACAAATGGAGAAAGTTTAGCACTGTTGCTACTCTCCCTAGGCGTGGTCGTCCTGTAAAAATGACTGTAAGAGCACAGTGCAGAATGCTGCATGAGGTAAAGAAGAATCCCAGAGTGTCAGCTAAAAACCTACAGAAATCTCTGGCACATGCTAACATTTTTGTTGACACATCTACAATAAGGAAAACATTAAACAAGAATGGAGTACATGGGAGGACACCACAGAGGAAGCCATTGCTGTCCAAAAAGAATATTGCAGCACGTTTGAAGTTTGCAAAAGAGCACCTGGATGTTCCACAGCACTACTGGCAAAATATACTGTGGACAGATGAAACCAAGATTGAGTTGTTTGGGAAGAACACACAACACTATGTGTGGAGAAAAGAAGGCACAGCACACCAACATCAAAACCTCATCCCCACTGTAAAACATGGCGGAGGGATCATCATGGTTTGGGGCTGCTTTGCTGCCTCAGGGCCTGGACGGATTGTTGTCATTGATGGGAAAACGAATTCCAGAGTTTATCAAGACATTTTGCAGGAAAACGTACGACCATCTGTCCGCCAACTGAAGCTCCGCAGAGGATGGGTGATGCAACAGGACAATGACCCAAAGCATACAAGTAATTCAACAAAACAATGGCTGCAACAGCACAGAATACGCCTTCTGGAGTGGCCCAATCAGAGTCCTGACCTCAACCCGATTGAAATGCTGTGGAGCTTTTCCCTTTGCTTTGAGCTTTGAACCTTAAGAGAGCGAATCACACCAGATATCCCAAGAATATTGCTACACTGAAACAGTTTTGTGAAGAGGAGTGGTCCAAAATTACTCCAGATCGTTGTGCAGGTCTGATCTGCAACTACAGGAAACGTTTGGTTGAAGTTATTGCTGCCAAAGGAGGGTCAACCAGTTATTAAGTCCAAAGGTTCACATACTTTTTCCTCCCTGCACTGTGAATGTTTACATGTTATGTGCAATTAAACCATGGCAACATCTAATGTTTGTGTAGTATTATATTCAGCAGACTGTGTTCTTCTATTGTTGTGACTTAGATGACGTGCAGAGCACATTTTATGCCCAATTCATGCAAAACTCCACGTAATCCCAAGGGGTTCACATACTTTTTCTTGCAACTGTGTGTGTGTGTGTGTATATATATATATATATATATATATATATATATAATTTGTATTTAACATTTGGATACAGTAAAATATGGAAGATTCTCTGTTAGGGTTTACTGCTGTCTGAAATCACCAGAGTGGCAGGTCACCTGCACCGAAGGAATACATGGGGAATGCAATGAAAAAATGGAAACAGCAAAAAATGCTAAGAGCAGTACCTTGGATGTCTTTAGGACGGGAAAAGAAAGGAAACCATCCCAATAGGGACACAAACAGCAATAAAAACAACTTGCAATCCTTCCAATTCTATGCAAAAAGTAAATCTAAGTGTTGGATAGAGTTCCATTAGAGATGCAATAAACTGAATGTCCTTGGCATGCATACCCATGGGTTTCCACCCACAGCACTCATTGAAATCAAATTCCAATTGTGCTGTGTGTACATTATAAGTATTAAAGGTAACAAGTAATCTTCAAATTTTTTTTCTGAAATGTTTTTATATTATTTTAGCTGTGTCTTTATGTAAAAATTGATTTTACCTTATCCCCAGGTTCACTGCGCCTCGTTCGCTTCATGATCTCCTCCAGTCGCTGTAAAATATTGCAAAGTAGTCTTGTTAAAACCTCAGAAAATATGTTTTCGGTGTCATTCAATTCTATGCATAATGCCTTCACAATTAGGCACTTACATTTGTGCTTATAGGTTTTACATACTCCTCGCAGAGGTATGAGTGATCAGACAAAACACATTTCTCTGATTTTTAATGTGATCCAAATGAAACTCTTAGGCAGCACAGAATAGCACAGTCACAAATCATGGCAAGAAAGCAAAGAATAAAATGGTTCTGTTCAAGAGTTTGCAAACCCTTAGTTTTGAATATTCTGTACTGAATGCCTTTAGCATCAATGATGGCTTGCAGTCTTTTGTGATCGTTGTAAATTAATCCCTTTATTTTCTAATGCGGTAAAAATGCATGAACTGCATATCTGAGATCACCCCAAAGCAGCTCAATGATATGGAGGTCAGGAAATGATGATGGCCACTCCAAATCTTTTACTTTTTTCTGCTGCTGACACTAAGGGGTCAACTTAACTTCACCTTATGTTTCAGATCTTTGTCAGGTTTGTAAAGTCAAGAAGTGTGCTCCATGAGCAGCTTCCATGCTGATGCAATGCAAAGATTTTTATATGTTTAATAATTAGATGAATTCAACTTGACATTAACAGCCCTTCCTCCAACAACCTCTTGTAAACAATAGATAGCCCCTCATCCTACGACTAGAGCAGTGGTCTCCAATCTGCGACCCTTTGCTTGATTTTATCTTTTCCTCCCACTGACACCAACAATGGGGCATAATTTATGCTACTGACAACAACGAGGCACTTTTCCTCCCACTAACATCAATGATAGGACACTATTCTTCCTACTGACACCAATGATAGGGCACTATTCCTCCCACTGACACCAATGATAGGGCACTATTCTTCCCACTGACACCAACAATGGGGCACTATTCCTCCACTCACACCAACAATGGGGCTCTATTCCTCCAACTGACACCAATGATGGGGCTCTATTCCTCCAATTGACACCAATGATGGGGCTCTATTCCTCTCACTGACACCAATGATGGGACACTATTCTTCCTACTGACACCAATGATAGGGCACTATTCCTCCCACTGACACCAATGATAGGGCACTATTCTTCCCACTGACACCAACAATGGGGCACTATTCCTCCCACTCACACCAACAATGGGGCTCTATTCCTCCAACTGACACCAATGATGGGGCTCTATTCCTCCAACTGACACCAATGATGGAGCTCTATTCCTCCCACTGACACCAATAATGGGGCTCTATTCCTCCCACTGACACCAATAATGGGGCTCTATTCCTCCCACTGACACCAATGATTGGGCACTATTCTTCCCGCTGACACCAATGACAGGGCACTATTCCTTCCGCTGACACCAACAACCGGGCTAGATTCCTCTCATTGACACCAACAATGAGGCACATTTCATTCCACTAACATCAATGACAGGGCACTATTCCTCCCACTGACACCAATGATAGGGCACTATTCCTCCCACTGAAACCAATGATAGGGCAATATTCCTCCCACTGACACCAATGATAGGGCACTATTCCTCCCACTGACACCAACGATGGGGCACTATTCCTCCCACTGACACCAACGATAGGGCACTATTCCTCCAACTGACACCAATGATGGGGCTCTATTCCTCCCGCTGACACCAATAATGGGGCCCTATTCCTCCCACTGACACAAATGATCGGGCACTATTCCTCCCATTGACACCAATGATGGAGCAGTATTCTTCTCGCTGACACCAATGACAGGGCACTGTTCCTCCAGCTGACACCAACAACCGGGCTAGATTCCTCTCATTGATACCAACAATGAGGCACATTTCCTTCCACTAACATCAATGACAGGGCACTATTCCTCCCACTGACACCAATGATAGGGCACTATTCCTCCCACTGACACCAATGATAGGGCACTATTCCTCCCGCTGACACCAATGATAGGGCACTATTCCTCCCACTGACATGAATGATAGAGCACTATTCCTTCTACTGAGATGAATGATAGGGCTCTATTCCTCCCACTGACACCAATGATCGAGCACTTTTCCTTCTACTGACATGAATGATAGAGCACTATTCCTCCTACTGATATGAATGATAGGGCACTATTCCCTCTACTGACATGAATTATAGGGCATTATTCCTCCCACAGACACCAACAATGAGGCACTATTCCTCCCACTGACACCAACAATGGGGCGCTATTCCTCCTTCTAATACCAAAGATGTATTGTTTACTCCCACTGATGTCAGGACAATTTCTGATCCCAATGACCACAGTCCAGGCCCCCAAACACCTGAAGGATAGTAAACTGGCCCTTTATTTAGAAAGTTTGGAGACCCCTGGTCTAGAGTTCGTGTACATGGGAACCAGGATCATAAGCAAGTCAACAGTCCCTTCGCCCAAACAGCCTCTTGTAAACAATAGATAGCCCCTAAACCAACTGTTATGGTTCATGTACATGGGCACCAGACCCATAAACAAAAGAACAGCAGTATGCTTTAGGGGAAAGCGTCTTGCTTTTGTGTCATCAGGCTTGCTTGTAATTTCTTTAAGGGAAAGTGTCTTGGTTTTGTTTTGTCTGGCTTGTTTGCAAATGCCTTCTAAGTTGCTTATACATGGATATTTACTTGTATGGGGGGAGGGGGGTCAGTCTGGGTGCAATATCTGTTTTTTATTTGTATAATGGTATTACCAACTAAAGCCCACTTCCCACTAAAATGAGGGAATTGCAGTATGGTCAAGAGACTTTTTTATTGTATGTAAAGGGCAGGTTTCCATTTAAGCTAGAAAAGAGGATTTTGTAATTACTATAAAATCCTTTCCTTGGAGCCTATTAAGGGACACAGGAACGTATTCATTTTAACAGCACTGGAAAACAAAAAGAAAAAAAACAAAACATTTATGGATTTATGGACAGCCCCCATATAACTGTACCTCTAATCACAATGCCTCAGTTTTGTGGGAAAGCAGTACATAAGACCAACAAACAAAGACGGGTGGGACCTATGTCCCTCAATGGACTCCAACAAAAAGATTTTATGGTAAGTATAAAAATCTTATTATCCATTGATGAATAGAGGAATGTGTTAATTGTTAGACAATTGGGATGCCCAAAAGCAGTCCAATTGAGGGGTGGGCAGCAGGCACTAATGAAACTGGGATAGAACCAGAAACCATTTCTAACACCCAGAAGGACCAATGCCTGAATCAGAAGCAGAAGAGCTTAGAGTGATTCTAAAGGCTTATCTTTTTTTTTTTTTTTCTTATAGTAACAAATATGTCTATACTTACCTGCTCTATGGAGTGGTTTTGCACAGAGCAGCCCAGACCCTCTTCTTCTCAGATCCCCCGCCGGCACTCCTGGCCCCTTCCTCCTGTCGGTATCCACACAGCAAGCAGTTTTGTATGGGGGCACCCAAGGACACACACTCCCCAGCTGTTGCTCTGTGTGTCCATGCACTTACTGAGCTGCGGGCTCAGCCCTGCCCCCCCTCTCTTCTCATTGGCTCACTAACTGTGATTGACAGCAGCAGGAGCCAATGCCTCCTGCTGCTGTCTCAGCCAATGAGCAGAGGGAGTCCCGGGATAGCCGAGACTCCAGTGCACATCACTGGACTGAGAGGGGGCTTAGTTGAGAATTAGGGGGGAATGCTACACAGAGAAGGTTTTAGAATGCATGAAGGTAAAAAAACCTTGCGCCTTTACAACCACTCTAAGTTTTAACAGGACAGAGGAAGTGCTAAATACCCAGAGGTGGTCACAGAGGATTAACCTGATGCTCAGAGCAAAAAAAGAATCCTAAAAAGTCCTAAGAAGTTGGTGACAACCCCAATGGAGAAGGAATAAAAAGGGGGTGAAAGACGTACACCTCAGCACAAAAAGACAGGAGTGGGAGACGACGACAACAACATACTGGCACAGCAACTCCAGCCGGCTGAGCAGAGTCATCCACAAGGACACCTGAAGGTGTGACTAGAACCTGACAGGGAAAACCCTATGCAGGGCCTGCAGCGGGAAGGGTAATGCAAAGAAGGCAAGCCCCCAGTACTGCACTAGCCCTGTAGATGGGGTACCAAGGCTACTAGGGAAGATTTTACTAATCCAGAGGAAGCAGAGTGCTTCAGTGAGGATCAAAGCTGGTCAGCCTAGATCAATGGTGACTGATTGTTACCAACACTAGACATCTCTAAGGTTCCTCATAAATTATAATATAATAATTATAAAAAATAATAATATAATAATAAATTTAATTCAATAATGTAATCAAACCAAAAACACTGAAATTTGAAATAGAGTGCCATGTTCGCACATCACTGAGCAAAGTCGCAAAATCGTTTTCAGTGTCTGATGATGAATTTCCCCACAAATCATTATCACTTAATTCTGCAAGTGGTTCTAATTCACTATCACTGTATTCTAGCTGGTCTAAAACTGCCTTTGACCTAAAGGGACACTTTTTAGACGCCATGGACGATTCTCAGTTTCCAGGCAGAAAGAATGGTAAAAGTGCAGGCAGGGCACTGGACAAAATTTAGGTGAAATGGTTTGATACAGTAATGTAATACGAGATTACAGTGGATTGTGTGTATGTAAAATTTTGACTTTTTTGAATCTCCCGCCAGTTCCGCCCCCCGTACATCCCGACGTTCGCAGGGATTGGAACCCAGAAGACGGATGCCAGCATCGGCCAACGGACACAGCAGGAGGACCTCGTGGGATCGTGGGACAAGACAAGGCTCGAGGGATCACTGCAGTGTAATCCCGAGTATTGCTCAGGGTTACCACTTTTGGTACTGAAATTAACCCCGAGCTACACTCGGGATTACCGCCAGGAAGGTTAAGTGAGCTTAGTATTGGCGAAAACACACAATTTATATTTCAATGGCTTTTATTGAGTAGTTTTATAAAAGAAAAAGACATAAGTAAAGCAAACAATATTAATGAATAACGTGCCATCGTATATACA